ATGAACCCGGCATTTTACACAAAACAATAAAGTTGTGTACGTGCACGTTTACTTACATGGTGTATGCTTGTCCTATTTTATCATGTCTAGTCTGAAAAAAACATAATGGTGCAATTGTAAGAGGACAGAACATCCAACACCACATGGAAAGAAAGATTATGTCCACACGTTTTGATAAAATTGAGCTGTATTTTTTAACGTGCCTTGATGCTACACAAGTACTAAATCAAGCTCCCGACAGTTGCTAGTGTCATACGTTGGGACTGAGCGGAGCCAATGGTGGAGAAGCAGAGTGGTGGCACTGCAGCGAAACACACTTCTGCAGCCAATCACAATTGGTTCTGGGATCCAGCAGTCTGGTCATGGACATGTTAATGGCCCCACCAGATATAAAAAGGTCAGCATTTGACATGGTTGGGGGTTAGGTTTAGCAATTGGCTACAGTACTAATTGCCAGGGCAGTATTACTTCCTTCACACTACACCACACAGCTTAACTTGGTGAGCACATATCACAAGGCAAGGCTACTGCATGTGTTTGCCATTATTGTTGCTATAAAAATGGATAAGAGTAGCTAATGATCCAATGCAAGTGAACTGTAGTTGGATCGTAAGTGGCAGCTTTAGTGGTTTAGTTATAACAGCATCATGATCAATGCATAAGAATGCACACCTGCTTGGCATTGTACCAAGAAGCCCACGTGAGAGTTTTTAAATCGTTTTCAATCCATTAACATTGTTTGACCATGTGCTTCCTTGCACTATTTTAGCGGAAATAATTAAAAGTAAATTCAAAACAATTATTATATTCCAAACAACTCTAGCAGCACTCAGACAGCACTACTTAACCAAACAATATTAATGGTGCCTGTTTAGTACACACGCTAAATTACATATTAAGAAACCAATGTTAGGTTTGATTGTTACTGTTACTTTGGAAGGGCTTGCCAGTTTAATTTTTGTTCTAGCTATAGTCTTATAAATCACGTTTTGGATGTAATATTCACATTTTTTGTTCAATACGTAAAGGTGGAAACTCACTGCTACAACACACTATATCCTAAAGTACTGCATTACATGTGGAACTGTGTTTTTTAAACTATCGTTGCCATAAGACCATAACAATGACATATAGGACTTCTATAAATGAATTGGCTAAATTGAGAGGCAGAGTTGTCAATTCAGTGTTTGGAATTAAATATATTGGCCTGTAAAAGCCTCGCCCTGTGCCAAGTTTATCACCACACATGTACACATTACAACCGGAATATTTAAAATACCACAATTTCTATTAGTTTAAAGGAATGCCGTGAAGTTTAAAATATTCACCCACTCAACGCAATGTTTGATATAACAGCCTGAACGAGGCAGAAAGCAGCGAGCCGATTGTAAGCCACACAAATAAAAAATAGATTTGGCCGAAACATTGGTACTGTAACTCAAAACATCTTATACATATCATATTCACACAGCTGTTCACTGGCCGTAACACTCAGGGGCAATCATTCAAAATCCCATCACACAGATATCCGATATTGTACATGCAGATACATTTAACAGTAGTGGGTTATAATAAACAAAGTGATGAGATACTGTTCTTATACAAGCATGTACCAGGCAGCATATTCTAACAATGTAACAAACTATCATTATAATTTACTGAGCCAATAATGTCTATGTACTACACGTGATGTCCTCCTCGTCGACCAGCCCCCCTACCTGGCAGCTCTTTTAATTGGTGGAAAACCTGCCCACCACTTACATTAACATAAGTTGACCCGCCCATGCTACTGACATTTGGGCTACGCCCATTCCAAACCTTTATAAACAGTTTGCCTTTAGAAGCTAATCCCCTTTTCCTGACGACGACCGCTTGTTGCGATCGAAACGTCGTAGTTTTTTTATTTTCTTTGAACCTATCGACCTGACTTCACCGAAAGACCCAAAGAATATGAATTACTGCAGCCAAGAAAGCTTTAAGTCAAGATTTAATCATGAACAGGTTACGTTCTCCACATGAACCCCCCCCCCCGCTCATTAATAATCATGAGCGGGTATGTCACTCTGCATGGAGAACCCCCCCTCATTAATAATTAGCCGGTGACTTCTCTCCACATGGGGGGGGGGGGCGAGGCGCCTCCTCCCCCCTCCTAAGTGTCAACTTATAACTCTCACTACAAAGGCAGAACCCCCACGTCACGTGATCTCCGTAAAGCTGTTGTTGAGACAGAAGTAAAAAGGACGTCATGATGAACAAGGGATTATAACCTTTAAATGAAATGTCTGTCACCGTGGCCTTACAAATTGCACACGAATGGATGCAATGAATATATCACGTCGCGGTCTGATTTTCGCTTGCAAGTTTCAGATTTACTGCAATACACCCGTCCTTGGACGGGCAAAAGGCTAGTTGAGACAATATTTACGTGACCTAACCCAAAAAAACCCCTATATTATGGATATTGGTCGCAAAAGTCTACATGTTAAACTAATGAGGCACATCATTGTTAAAAACAGCTCTGCGAAGAGACTGCCATTATTGTATTAAATGCATGTTAACTTGTATTAAGAGACCCAAAAATAGCCTTGTGAGGTGACAACTGTTCTGCTATGCGACACTCAAAAACCCCACAACTGCATACAGATTTTACAACATATGAATACATACAAAACTTTTGCACATTGGTGGTGCATGTTATTGGTAATCGCTAACAAATACACCTCTCCATGATTAATACCACTGCATAAGGAACCGAAGCATGTATCAGCTAACATTTAAAATACTCCTTTGTCAATGTAGAAAAACAATTAGGACAACTTCAAAGACAAAAACTCAAGCCGTACTGGAAAAGGATAAAACAGACGGATTCATTGAGACGTGAAGTGAGGAGATTTTTTTGTCACTTAAAAAAACAGTTTATTGACTTTTCACACTGAGGCTGAGCCACTGCCAACAACGTTAGCTATTAAAACATTTTCAGTGTGTAAGATGTTTCAAAATACTGTAATTTTTTCAGCTTTTACGTTACAAGTTCTGTAAATTAATCCATGAAATGTGACTTGTGATGGCCTTGCCTGAACATTACTAAAGTCTTGTAAAACAAATTATATGCACAAAACCAACCTAAATTTAGCACAAAATCAAAACTGCTACACATCTTCGGTGCCAAACACAGCGAATGTAACAGGTCTCAACCAATCTCGATGAGCCATAATATTGAACCAAATTTATATTTTAAAAAATTCCGATGCAAGGCCCAAACCTTGTGCTTTAACTCTTAAAATGTTTCACACGTCATACAATGATGCACACCAGGGAGACACACACACAAGGCAAAACAAAACCTGTCAACATTTAAAAGCATAATTCAAGGTACTGGTGTTAGGCTGTGTTAAAATATGTAACGTTTTTAATATTATAGAAAGCCATAACCCAAAACATATCAAATAGCTCTTATTTTTCAGGCCATTATATAGGCTGTGTATCCTACCTAGGCTGTCCTAGTATACATTTTAGAGCTTTATTAACAAAACAGACTTTAAAGCGACTATATAGCATGTTTTACTGAGGTGGCTGCCATGGCATTGTATTAAAATAAACAAACTACAATGCTGTGATATTATTAGTGCTATGGTGGCACATATTAGTTACTTTAAAGTCTTTATTCTCATTTCCTAAGTCGCAAACTTAAACGAACAACTTGGTATGCGCACAACCTAGGTGTGTATCCGTGAAATAAAGAGATCATATTTTAGCTGCATCTTCTTTTGAAACAGATCTATAAAGTTGTACAAACATACAAGGGACAAAGTTGGACCAAAAAGCAGACACAAATTATTTCACTTCGAAATCAAGTACTTTAGATTCAGGATAACCAAAAGATCACTCATTCTGGATTAAAATAAACTGCATTCATCAACGCTCTATTCGGATTACAGATAACCATTTTAATAGTTGTAATAAACAAAAATACTGAAAGTCAACACACGACAAGAACCTAACACACACTGACATTTTAGTATGTCTGTCAATCTCTGCTCACACTGACTCAGGATTTAATCCCACAAAAGCATAAACTACACCAGCCAACCCTGGTCAATGAGAAAGCTTTCAAATTGTAAATAAACAATGGTCTGTCTCACCAAGTAATGAATTCCATCAGCTTATGGGCTTCTGGGCTGTCTTCCGTGTAAAATTTGTTTAAGCAGTCAGATGCTGGATAGGTTGAGTGTCCTCAGCAGTGTGGAAACAATTTCTAAAGCAGGTCCATAGGTTTATGGGCCAACAAGCTATTTACTTTAACATGTTATGAAAGCTTTTTATGCACAATAGAAATGAAGCTTCCATATCTTCACTGGTGATGGAAATAATATGTGATGTAAATCTCCGCACAATGTAGACTTTAAAGAGGGTCATGTATCAGTGTTTCCAGCCTCTTTACTCAAGGATAATTTGGAGTATATCGATTTTAAAATGCAAATATTATTTTACTATTCCATGCCCTTTCTACACTTCAAATATCAAACATTCTGGTTACACTAGCCTTTTGTCCATCCAAGGACGAGTGTATTTCAGTAAATCGGAAACTTGAAAGCGAAAAGCAGCCCGTGATGTGATATTTATTGCATCAATTCGTGTACAATTTGTAAGGCCGCGGTGACACAGACTTATTTCATTTAAAGGTTACAATCCCTTGTTCATCATGACGTCCTTTTTACTTCTGTCTCAATAGCGTTACGTGAGGGTTCTGCCTTTGAAGTGAGGGTTGTAAGTTGACGCTGAGGAGGGGGGAGGAGGCGCCTCGCCCCCCCATGTGGAGTGACGTCACCCGCTAATTATTATTAATGGTGGGGGGTGTCCATTTGGAAGACGTCACCTCTTCATGATTATTAATGTGGGGGGCTGTTCGATGTGGAGTGACGTCACCTGCTCATGATTATTAATGAGGGGGGGTGCTGCATGTGGAGAGACGTCACCCGCTCATGATTATTAATGAGGGGGGAGGGGGGGTCCATGTGGAGGACGTCACCTGTTCATGAGTATTAATGAGGGGGGCTGGCCTACGTGGAGTGACGTCACGAGCGAGACAGACATTCTTGGCTCATTATAGTAGTAAATAACACAAATCGACAGAATTTAGCACTTATTTCAGGACTAACTGGACACTCAGCTCGCGCTTAATTTATACATTACTGTTACATTAACAGCTCATTTTGCAGAGTTTACATTTCAACAAAAGTACATGTTAAACAATTTCCAATACTATTATTTTCTACAGTTCCAGTAAAAAGCTACAAAACATGGTGCATAACACCATGAACTTTTAACGATACAAGTGGATGAAATTCTACATTTTTAATCATCCAATTGTATCTGCAATCCACCTACAATGTCAGTTTGAGAAAGGAGTTTCTGCAATAAATGTTAAAGAACTGGCACGTAAAAATCGACATCACCATGAACGTATCATAGAATGTTAATCTCTAAATGTAGCAAACTAAAAATGGTAAGAGATCCATTTTCACAACTGTCCAAGTATGTACACAGGCCCAAAGACCCAACACATGTATATAACTCTGTGCTCTCCACGGTAAAACAGCACTGCCAGGAGATGATGCCACTTCCCTCTTGGAGGCCGGGTCATCAAGATGCACTCGCAAACAAAGGAGTTCACAACATTCCCAGACACAGCAAGATCTTCAGCAACAAGCAGCTGGAAATGTCTGCTTACTGTATTTGCATAATATAAAATAAAAAAGCAGGTGGGGTGTTTAGTTAATTTAATTGTTAGTAAAAATTGCATCCTATCTGCCTGATCTAATAACATTTAAATGTTGAGAAAATGGAAATAGTAGATGCACAAGTCTTCCTTGGGGTTTGTAACTAAACCAGTCTGTGAGGTCCCATGACACTGCACTTTTGACCTTTTAAAACAGTCTCTGCAACAATAACAGCAACTGCCGCAGTGGATGTTCGGGGGCTTCTACTTTGTTCCACACGTCTGTCCCAAGGCGGTCGCCAGCGCTCACACGCACACTACCCTCACGGCGCCACGCTTGCTCCCACATCGCTCGCCGCCTGTTCCCCCTCCATGGGAACTGCAGCCGGGGCGGCCTGGACCGGCAGCGCTCCGGGCACCGCCGTGGACGCCGCTGCCGCAGAGACCATTGCCGCGACGGTGGCCTCTGGGACGGGCTGCAGCGTGACCATGGTGCCGGGTCCCGATACCACCTGAGCGCCCTGCAACATTGCTCCCAGCCCGGCGGCGCTCACAATGCCGCCACCCCCGCCATCGCCCCCCTGCGCCGACACAAACTGCACGGGGCTCAGCACCTTGAGCCCGGACGCGGTGGAGATGATGGCCTGCGAGCCGATGACAGTGAGGCCACCTGGCGTCCCAGCCATGGTGCCATACGTCGCCGTGGTAGTCCCCGCGGCGAACGCCGGCTGCTGCTTGCCGCCAACGCCGGCCACCGGGATGGTGGCGAGCGTGGGCAGCTTGGCCATGGGGATGGTAGTAAGGCCGGGGATGGTGGCCATGGTGGGCACGGAGGCCGAGGCGCGCTGTGCACGGGGCCGCTTGGCCGGCGGCGGGGAGATGGCGATGGCCGACGGGGAGAGCGTGGTCAGCTGCTGGCGCTGCTTTTGCTCGATGCTGCGCCGGCGCTGATCGTCGCACTGCCGCTCCAGCTCTGCGCGTCCGCGCCACAAAGGGGACAAGCTAAGCTCGGACTCGCTGTCGGGCTAGTGCTACTAGCTCTCATGGCAATCGCATTTACCGTGAGCAACTGTGGCAACTTGGTAAGGCAATAGTGCAGGATAACACAATTTAGTCGAGCGAATGACAACAGTATGTTGAGATGCGTGTTTGATAAACATAGGTCTACAGGACACACAACGTTAGGTAGTTATGTGATCATTTTCTGTGATCTGAATGGAAGTTAACATTCTAGTTCTCCCCCGAGCGGGGAAACGATAAGATTTGTGAATATTTGGGCAACTAAATTTTTACCTATGATCATTTTTCCTGATGATAATCTCCCTAAAAGCACCCAGGTGTATCAGGGCTTTCACCACTTTAAATTACGAGAATCATTAGTCAGTAATCATGAGAACTATGAGTCAAATATCTTCAGAAACATCTACTAAAAAGCACAGAGCAGATAAAATTTCAATGTAGCACACCGATTGGAAGGCTGAACAACCGGTCACATGCATATAACTCAGGAAAAAGTCAAGCACACCCTGAGGCTTACATAGTCTCACAGCACTGCACTCTTAATCATGGCAAAGCATCTCTTCAGTTCATAAACAGACATTAAGAATGAGTGAAACAAAGCAAATGTGATTCACAGATTTCAAATGTAGCTGAATACTGCGTGTAAACTGGCTCAGCGTAAAAGAAAAAAACATTAGCAATGGAAATCAGGACCCATGAATGGAAAGGTGTCGAGCGTGCCTGACCAAAATTCCATTTCTCAAAAATCTCTTACATCGCATCCAACAATAAATCTATTTTAATTTCAACCCACTGAGATACGTGTCTCTGAATTGTAAGGGACATCTGGGATCTAAAAAAATCAACAACAACAAATGTAAATGAACACAGGAATTAAAATAAATGGTAAAATCAAAAGACATTGTGAGAGAAAGTGAAGACGTGTGGGTGCTGACAGACAATGCAGTGGTGAGGTGCAGCGCACCTGCCAGGTCCCGTGTATACTGGTCGCGGTATCGACCCATCTGGGACTTGTGGTTGCCCAGAATCTTCTTAACATTATCCATGAGGCCAAAGTGTTGGACCACGCCGTTCAGCGTCGTTGCATCTGACAGGGGTCCACGCACACAACAACATTATCAGCGGAAGCCTCTGATGTATGCAGGGAAATGCGACTCGTCTTTTACTATTGTGCACCTCCACTTTCCATTGCCACTGAAACAAGGTTAACTTGGGAGCTGAATAGCCAGTTGCATGAAACATTTAAGTGAAAACCGTGCCTTATAGTACACGGACTTAGGAAAGTAAGTAAACAATGTGCTGAAGCAGTTATGCAAATCACAAGCATTAATGCTATGGAAAGCAGCACAGTAACCCTTCTGAGTATTTCACTTAACGAGTGATGGAAAAACCCGCACCACAGGTGGCCAGCTGCTCGTGTTGGGAACCGTGAGGGCAGTCCCCTGGTAATAGACTTGCAACAATTCATTGCATAAAATCAATTCTAACACTCATGATACAAGTACCAAATTGTGTTCATAAACAACAGTCATTTACAATTTATACAAATTATATCATAATATACAAACAACAAGAGATGGAACCTACAAACTTGACCGTCTAAATTAAATACAAAAAAAAATCTTGGTTCTAATCGTAACTCGGAATTGTGCCAATTCATAGAATATCAAGAGGGAAGGGGTTGAAGCATCCATGCCGAGGTTTTAACAATTATGCACAATGACATGCTGGGAAGTGCTTAAGAGGGTGTACACGATGAGTGATTCATTTAGTAGGCAATGCTAGACATGACAATTTGGCACCTCTCATTTCTCAAGCCACCGATTTTGTGATCCCAAGCTCTAAAATATAAAAATCAGCCTGACACTCAACAGACCAGCGCCAACGTGTGAATCCACTTCACGAATAGACAATGACAACAGAGTAAACATTGGGCCTGTACCACTCATCTGCAGGGGGGAGAGCTGTATCCGCTGGCGCAGGGCCTTGAGCGTGTCCTGGATCTCCTGCTGCACCTCGTTCACAACCTCCCCGAGCAGCCCCACATCAGCGATCCCCTTCCACAGCGAAAAGACCTCGTCTGCATGAGCAACATACACAGAGGCAGAGTTGAAGGCAGTCAAAAGTTGACTCAGCGCTCCGATCAAAACAGTACAACAGCTTTTGTATCCTTCCAGCTGCAGTTGAAGTAAGATGTAACCCAAAAAACAAAGACCTCTTAACTTAAATCTTGACTCGAAGCTTTCGTGATTGCAGGAATTCATATTCTTTGGGTCTTTCGGTAAAGTCACGTAGATAGGTTCAAAGAAAATAACAAAAAACTACGACGTTTCGATCGCAACACAAGCGGTCGTCATCAAGAAAAGGGGATTATAGCCTCTAAAGGCAAACTGTTTATAAAGCAAAGGTATTTAAAATCCTTCAGGTGACACCATTACATGCAACAGTAACGTAACTGCACTGATATATAAAATGGTGTGGGGGGTGAAGTCATAGTGATGTAACTCGAGTGCCACAGTGAAGCACTTGACCTGAGATTTACATTTCTCACTGTGAAGCTTGAAACCCATGTCAGACAACTCGTGACACACAGCCTAGGTCGGCATCTATAAAGCACGTATTAGCAATTCGCTACGTACAGTGCGAAAGAAGTTGAACATATATACAAAGATAAGAGCCCTTGAATTTTTGGGGTTTCATCCCCTTTTAATTATTACAACCGCTGCTTCAGCAGTGCATTATATCAAAAGTAACAAATGTTATAAGGCTGTATTGTAAGATGGTTTACTGTTAACCTGTAATATAACATTTGAAAACTAAGACACAATATCAATAATGCTGTAGAAATAACTGACATATGTATGATGCATGACAGTTCAATTGACATTGCTGGCATGTAAATATCTGCAAGGCAACTTGAAAATATTGTAGCTGGAATCTGAGCATAGTTGTGCTCTTATGATTTTAGTTTTAGACCTTATGGGGAATGTGGATCTCAGCCTGCAGTAAAAGTAGCGCAAGACAAAGGCAGACAGTACCAGTCAGGAGGAGCAGAAGCTGAGTAGTTTGGACAGGGTGAAGATGAGTACTGTGATGATTCCCACCTGTTAGTGCAAGTGCCGGCCTTAATAAGTGCTAGCTAACAACACTTGCCATGACTGCCTATAGAAGTCTACATTAGGGATGGGGATCTTTGTTTTATGGGTACATGGGTGTATGTCTAGATACACGGGTGTGTGGGTACACCAGTATATGTGTGTGTAGGTACAGGACTGATGGGCGGGCACCTTTGTCACCTGGAAGTTCACTCGCGTCCTTGGCGCGCGCGCTATCGGTGCACGGCGTCGAGGGTAGGAAGGAGGTGGACGGAGTGGACACCAGCTCGCTGGCATCTTTGGCCGCCTCCTCAGCACCCCCGCACACCTGTGCGCCATTCACTGCAATCCATACCACACCTCGGTTAAAGCCAAATTCCTGTTACCAATACCAACACACGCCATTCGCCACTAAGTGACGGTGACATCACCACGATGCCTGTGCCAGGCACACTTTGAGGCCACGTGACGTGTCAAAGGCTGGCTTACAGGAGATCACCGGGCAGACCCAGGTGCCATGGGTTGACCGAGATGACTGGCAGATGCATCAGCTGTGGCCCCGACAGTGCCAAATTCTCGTTACAGACACGAATACACAGACATGCTGTTGTACAAATATCCAGAATCAGCATTGTTTACTTAAATAATTATCATTAGATTGTTTAATGCAATTACTACATCGAAATGCAAACCTGTGGGACAAGTGTTTTACGCAATCTGAGGTGTCAGAGACATATCCAACATTGTGGGTTTCATTTATAACCACACACAATGGGGTAATGAATGGTTTATTCCGTTTATTTGTAGTAAGGCACTTACATTCCAACAGGGTAAAAGTGTTTATCCTTTAAAATGAGCATTGATCTCTAATGGTAGCTAAAACCAAGTGGTTTAAAGCCTGGACCCTGCTGCATTTCTGTGACAAGAGCCAGTCTATGAATGGAGCAGCAAATGTTGAATTTCCACAACTGGCTCAACACCACGATAACAAACATTGGCAACGAAGACACTAAATATTGTGGCAAGCTGAGCGAGACGTGAACATATTCAGCAGCTTTTATCTAATCTTGCTTGTTATAGGCCAATTCATACATCCAATTCACTATATTCCCATTCAACATCGTTGTCAGTGTATTGATATTTGACCCAAATGAACGTTATTCCACATAACCACTCAAGTGATCCGTATACAGGCAGGTGGTGTGGGATAAGCTCAGCAGTGGTGGGCGCTGGGAAACTCACCGTCGGAAGGGGTTCCAACCATCGAGTACTCGCCCTGCGTGCCGATGATGGGTAAGCGCACATTGTTGATGAGGATGTCGAACTTGGTGCTTCGGCAAGTGCTGGTGCACACCTTGTCGTGCTGGTAGAAGTCCAGCTCCCCCGAGTCCATCACCTTTCTGCTTGGTTACACGTCACGGGCAAAGATGGAGGTTTAAATTCAGCCGGGTCTGTCCGAGTCAGCAACCCGGGAAAATACCCGCATCTATTATATCTCTCGCTATGGCTGTGGCTACCATTTACGTGCCACCTACTTCAGAGTTCTTCAGCGACCAATCAAATATTCAGTGACAAGCTCATAACTAGTATGAGAAAATAGTGACAAACAATGAAGCACATGAATGTGACTGCATCGTAAGGCATAATACAAACAGGGGAACAACATATGCATAGATTATTGAAGGATGGGGAAAAAACTAATTGGAGAAGGAATTAGAGGCAGCTTGCTATAAGGGTAAAAAACTGACAGGGTTTTTCCCCTTTTCTCTGGCAACAAAACTGAAACCTTTTTTACAAGGATACATGTCTGCATTAACCACAATACCTGCAGTCAAAATGCAAAGAAAAAACATACTATGATAAATTTTGATTTAAAGCTTTCGTGACTGCAGTAATTCATATTCTTAGTTCTTTCGGTAAAGTCAACGTAACTTTACCGAAAGAACTAAGAATATATACTATGATAATATATGCATTGTCCTTGAAACTGATTGGTCTACACCAAGGGACGGCTTTCTTTTGAGCCTCGACCCAATTGGTGCTCGACCAGATGACGCCAAAAGCTTTCAGTTTTGTTGCCAGAAAAAATGGGGAAAAACCCTATTATTACATTTTGGTACTGGCAAAGGAGGTCTAATGATGGTATCAGGCTCCCTACTATTTATCAAAACACCCTGCCATTTGATAAACGGTCATGATTCTGGGTCCCAGTTTGACTAAATAATTGATATGATCCCGTCTCATTAACACTTTCATATTTTAATTTCCTCACTTGTTGGTTTTGTCTTGTTTATTATGACGAGCAACCCGCACGCACGTCCTTTCAACGTGAATGTCCATCTGTCCCTCCCCACCAGCCAGCCGGCGATCAAAACTTGTCATTTTATATACAGCCCTGTCTCTCTACCTTTCTTTTGCCTTCTCTGTATGGTATATTCCAATTGATCTCGATTTCTTTCTTTGACTGTTTATATCTCTTTCTCTATTCCTCTGTACCATATTAATCCCTCCCTCTATATTCCTCTCACCCACTTCCCTGACCCCTATCTCTCCCAGTTTATCTCTTTCACCCTCGCCTCTCCTTATTCCCAACTCTCCCTTTCCCTTCTCAATCTCTTGCATCTCCCCAATCCTTCCCTCCCACTGCTTGTCGCTTTCCCTCGCTCTCCTCTTTCCGTTTTGCTCTTTCTTCTCCGTTTTACACCCTTTCACCATCTCCTTGTCTCTCTCCTCTCCACTCCATCTCTTCCGCCCTCCTCTATCTCCCTTCATCTCTTCTAATACATTTGCGCAGGATATACAGCTGGTGTGGAGGGTGGGTGGGGGGTGAGCATGACGTTAGCGTGACAAATTGATTAACCCGGTTCAACGCTGTGGGATGTGGGTGACGTCATGACGAAGATGTGTGCAATGAAGTCACTACAGCACACGCCCATTTGGCTATGTGCCAGCCAGTTCTAAATAATCAAAAGTAATTCTTGCACACCTTAATGATGGATGTAAATGTGAGCGACTGAGTTCGACCCACCATGAAGTTGTGTTATGTTATCAGCATAACCATGTTATGATATTAATTTTCCCTGCATGACTGCAATAACCTTTTTTTTATAACACTGACCTGTTTCATTTAAAACAACCCAGTGCTTTTCTTAGGTTAATGTTTTGCTTAATGAGGCTTTAATTTCAGAACACAAAGGTTTTTGTTCTCAATGATTATAGTTTCAAACATACACTAACCAAGAGTAATACATTTTGTCTTAGTGCAAATCGTTGATGCTTAGGGGCAGCATCTTTCATCAGAGAATGGCTCAGGAATATGACACTTTGAACTACTTCTGAAGTTACTTCAAAAGGCATCATATCAACACTAGGTGGCACATCTTTAATATGCCTTGAAAAAAAGGGTGTCCATCACATGTCAAACCAAATTTCTCAATTTAGAATCTGGAATAAGTGATGTAAAAAGATGAGATTAACATTATGTTTTTGGAATTTGCTTGTGAGGTGCAAAGGTACTCTCTCCCAGCTCTCACCACTAGACAGGTGATAATTACCCTTCACTTGGAATCGTAAAATCTTACAATGGTGAAAATTAGTCAAGTGTAATTACAATTTAAAAGTAGCACAATTCAGATACAAAAAAACAGCTCAATTAAATCTGAATGTGTACTGTGTATCACTTAAAACCCAAATGATTATTCTGAGTGTGTCAACATTCAAACACTGAGGACAGTGATAGGTGGATACAGCGCAAAAGCTGGATGCCGGGAGCTGACCTCAACATGACCCCACGCATGCGAATGGCTCTCTTCCAGTCCTTCAGGGTCGACTTTCCAGCCATGTTCACAAACTCCTTTGGGCTGATCAGTCCGGTGTTAAACTACATGTAAAATACGGACATCACACAAAACAGCATTCGACACAATTAAAAAATGTTACTAACATAATCCTTACAAAACACACCATTAAATTCACTCACTCATCCATCTCTCCACCAATTCATCCATTTCTCCACTCTCCAGATCCATCCACTCACACCCTCACCCAAACTGAATCACTCGCTTAGTCACCCAAACACTCACTGGATCATCCAGACGTGAAATTACTCACTCCCAACTCACTAGCAATAGCACAAGAAACAAAGCAGATCAAGTTTGAGTCCATGCCATGTGAACACAAATGCACTCCTTTTCGGGCGACGATATCTGCATCGCATGCTCTACACTCCAACGTATAATTGAAAGAACTACAAAAGGGAACACATACCTTAACACATGGGACGTTGATGCCAGGGCAGACAAACTTCTTCAAGAGCAGGGTTGCCTTGTTGTCTCCACACGTGATGGGATATGCCAGGTTTGTTCCTTCCCCATCGTCCACCTCTTCCTCCTCCTCCTCTACCTCCTCCATCCCCTTCTCTGAGAGAGTACAACCCAGAGACACAAAATACAAAGATAAAAATCCCCCATATAGCCTTAAAAGACTGTTGGAGCAAGTGCTGTTAGTTAGCACCTATGAAGGCCTGCACGGCATACGATGGGGTGGGTGGGCAACACCACGCCTGGTCGCCTTTGTCTCCCTAGGGGCGATGTTTACACACTGGACCAGGTACTCATTTGAGGCTGGGTCGACCTGGGGGAGGCCCGGGACCAGTTCAGATAATCGTGACTAGTGTTAGACGTGATTGGAAATCGAACTCGGGTCACTAGGTGTGTAATGCAGCACCCTAACCGCTGCGCCACCGCTCCCCGCAGAGACACGTATGCATCCACAGATGCAGACGCTCCAAGGGCACATTATGGCACATTAGGCATGCACATACTCAAACTGCGTTTAAGCTGCACTGGAACACAAGTGTGTCACATACATATATTATTTTATACACATCATACGAGCAAACAAAAAACAGGTTATTTTCAGATTATACTACACATTACAAAAAGACACTGTCCATTTGATAAACCCTACTCAAAAAAAACATTGTTATGAATTGCACCAACCTAAAGTTACACACACCCAGTCTAGAATCCACAGAAGGTACAATGTATAAATGGGTGGCCACAACACCAGCCATATCTAAACGAAGCATAAATATATACACACACAAGATACAACAGGCATGCACTACATGCTCGCTACAGCAACATAACCAGATACCTGCACACAGTATACACAACTGAATAACTACACAAATGAATCTGTTCTTGCGTATGACAATACGTACAGGAGCTAAATGCCAATGTAGAGGTCTGCTAACAAGAGGGCTTGAGGACAGAGTTTGCATAGTTTTTCTATCCCTGAATTGAAGGACAGACAAGTCTTGCACTTTATGGTCCATAGTTTGGGTTGCATGGCATAGTCACACTATGGCTTAGCTTAAAGTTTCCATTCATGAAGGAGCTGTGAGCATCATCCTGTTTATGTTCTGATGCGGTTGATGGTCACACCAGTGTCTTGGATGAATGTCAAAACCAGGAGATGTGATGTCTGGGTCTCGAATGAGGTGTTTATTCTGGACGTCCGTGTTGTTCCACTCTCTTACAAGTGTTCTTCCAGATTTGGTTGAGATTCTAGGATGGTGACAGCATGCTCCACACAAATAATACTACCAAGTAGCTAAACACAATAATACACAGAAGCAGATAACTATGAACAGCACACACAACCAAGTAGCTATACACAAAAAAAACACAAGTATGTACACACTTTTCATGACACACATAAAATGTGATATACACGCATGACAGCACAAACAGCACAATAGGGTATATTGTATGACAGATGAGGTACTTACATACACAAGGAGGTACCCATATACACACGCCATACATACATGCAGACAGCTACACACTTGACAGTGGCCTCACAGCACACATACCACACCCCCATCGTGAGTGAGAAATGTATACCTTCCGTCACATCTCCAGAATTGGCCATCTTCTCCACCAGTGTGTTGGCAGAGTACACGGACTCAATGTTGTCATCTGTTTGAGCGGCACTGAACAAAAGCACCACATCCAGCCATGAGCAACGCGATGAAAGAACGTACCGCCGTGTACATTCAGCAAGTTCACACTTGTTCTGATAAACAAAAGTGCCACCGTTGTCCTCTGTTCCTTGCCAAGCATTGGAAGGTAGGCAGCTTTATTTGTACTCTCATCACTTTCAATGCAATATAACTTAGAGGTTTATACAGCATCTAAATGTGACTGCATCTTATGATGCTCTACACATAATCTTCCAAAAACAGTAAAGTTAAAAGGTAAACAAGTCATTCCTTTCAACAAATTAACATGAATTACTTAAAGTTATCCATCCCACAAAATAGTACACTGCACTATTTTGATCATTGGCCAAGGCTAATATTGAACCGTTTAAATCGCTGCCATGGCTAATATCAATGGCAAGAGTAATCTGAACCATGGGCTTCGCCTAAACAGGTCCTGGGCAACCCCTAGCCAACCGGATGAATTTACAGGCATGGTAAAATACGATCAAACTAAACCCCACGACCATTTTTTTCTATTTAAAAAGTTTAAATTGCGGAAAAAGCACGCCTTACATAAAGGACCACAACTTGTGCAAGAACCTACACTTCTCAGTGCCGCTCAGACCAGTAAAATTATAAAATATTGTCCATGTACGGGCAGACAGATGACGCTCATAATGCAATAATCATGGAGGTGGTCACTTCCACCACCCCCCGCCACCAGCATCATCATCATGGTTACCCAGCGTGATCCTGCTTGAATTGAACCATCATGGCGGCACTCGAATCCTCCGCGGAGTCGGTGCTGTTTGGAGTTTCCTCCACCGTCACCATGACGATCTCTGCTTCCCCTTCACCTCCCACCTCGCTCGTCGCCATGGTTGCCAAACGAGGTGAAGACGGACGGGCCTCAGAGTGGACTGCGCCTCCCCCTAACTCCCCCTTGCAAGGGGGTTGGGGAGCTGCACACACACACACACGGTGCACAGCATCGCGCTGTTATTACACTTACCTCCCTCGATAGTAAGCGCTTGAGAGGCTTATATAAAATTCACTGGCATACACTTATGTGCCCTGTGATATGAACACAAAATCCTGACAATCGAATCAACCAGTTTAAACTAAATTAGCAAACGTTGTATATTAATTATACAAATCTCAATTAAAGAATACAAGCCTGACCTATATAATTGTCCAGAAAATTTGGATTTTTATTAGAACTACATTTTTGTTATGATGCAGGTACTTTGTCAGACACAAGACAATTTTTTTAATGTTGCATTTGTAAAATAAATTGTGCACCGAATACGTCGTGTGCCATCAATCACCAATTCGTAAAATGTCCAAATTACCTTAAATAGTGTTGTAAATTGAGTAAAAACTGCTGTCATTGCAGAGCTATGCATCGTTATAAGTTTCACTTGTAAACATATACCGTGGATATTATTAGGCTTCCATAGTGTTAAAGAGGACATTATTTTTTTAGGAAACAGGCCAAAAGTACTTTCTTGTGCGGCAGCGGGATGTCACTGCATGCTCCCACATGCAATGGACAGAGGCGGCTTCGCACAGGTGGGCAGTTCTAAACAGCCACCGGGCGTGAAGCATCACGTTTGCTTCGAAAGGAAACCTCAAGCCTGACTTAGGAACGTCACCAAAGTCCCTACAGGCAGCCAGCCCAACCACCACCTCCCCCGTGGTGGCGGCAAGTGCCTACGTGAGGAGGGCCACGGTCTGTGAGCATTGAGACTCTGTTCCCTTGATGGGTGCTCAATTGGGAATATAGCACTGTACGTTCCCAGCCGTTACCACGATAACTGTAAATAACTCTGCAGCAAAATAATAACATAGACTAATAGGCGAGTGGTGTTGGAGTTGATCAGTGCGATTGATTGACGATCTGAAGTTGGCAGTTGAAATCACAGTCGAGGACTATCATATGTACATCATTTATATATTTTAAAAAAACATCTTATAGAATGTGATATGTATTTCTGGAAAAAACACATAACAAGCTCATGACCTCAGATGGAGTCAAAGCAGGCAGGGGTTCCCCACAAGTGCGCGCATTAGGGACTTTACTGAACATCAAATTATTAAATAACAGCTATTTTCCAGCCACACATGCTGCATAATTATATATACCTGCACGTATACAATAAAGTGGCTTTCCACTCAAACAAAAACAAAAGTGAAAGGTCAACCACTACTGCACACCAATAGGTGCTTTCTGGGTGATATGGTTTGAGGCCCACTGTGCGTGTCAATGCCCCCATTGGTATCCACGTGTTTGTCACAGCCTTTGATATACTGTATGTACTCATCGGCACACGTGGTTTTCCAATGCAATAATGGCGCAGAGCTAATTCACCAAAAGCTCCTGCAAATCCACTATTCTGAGGTCACACCACGTTCCAGAGTCGCTGTGTCCATGAGCGAAAATCGGCGTACGTGGGTGATGGGCGCAAACCTATACGCCTGTGTACACGTGTCTTGAGCACAGCCTGTTAAGCGATGAAAACACGTCTGTACAAAACATTACCACCTTATTCGGTATTACGTCCCTGCAATACCGTTGCCTACGGAATTTTTTTTGTCTGCGTTGTCCTGTTTATAATTGGCTGCAAAAACTAGGGCAATATCTGCTTGTAGTTGAAAATCTTTTATTTCTTTTATTTTCAACTGTATTATGTTGTACTGCACAGGACTGTATATTCAACGGTGATGTCATTGGTTGGATGAGGTTTTATCACAACACGAAAATACATTTGAATCAAATAAGACGTTTTCACGTGAATGCATTGCTGCATAAAAATGGATGAATCAATATTTGTCATATTGTCTTGCTCGAATTTACCTTAAACATTTTCGTAGGCCGAGCAGGTGCATTTTGTTGCCTAGATGTCCTCCTGTCTGAACTAAATTATCATCTTTAGCTGGGTCGTTCAGACGAGAGGCGAGGGGCGGCAAAATCACGCCTTGGCCCTTCCCACGTTGAACTCTCATGCATAGCAAGGACGGTGATTGCAACTGCTTCAAGTGCAATGAGCGTTGCAAAACAGAAGCGACGCTGCTGCATGCCTGAACGCATGACTTTGCGCAACTTGAGTACTGTAACTGAACTGTTGGGTGGATCTAGAACGTGCGTTTCCACATTGAAGATAACAAAAAAATAGGTCACGATTAAGGCGGGTGCATTTAATGCTGCCACATGCCACGGTCAACGCTGACATCTACATTTTTCCACGGTGGACTTCAATTAGTCAGCCAAAGTAATGGGGACACGGTGATAATATAAATAGCTTCTGCAAGCTATGAGACGTCAATGGCACATTCACAATATGACAATATTAAGTTCCAGCAATCTTACGATTGAAGTGAATTGAACGCATTTTAGAAATAACACACGAGTATCACGTGTGTACAACACCCCGTTCCATAACGGCAATATTATATAGGACATCAATTCTTTCAGTTGCCTACCACTGCTCAGCCGCTCTATCACCCGCTGCTTTGGGTAGTCATCACATTATTATTAACAGTTACAACCTTAGCGCTGCATATATTGATGCATCGATGGATTGAATACTGTACCAAAGGCACTGTAAAAACGATTAAACTACCGTATAAACGCCTAGATTATAGTTCAAAATTTATACGGTATATCACACCACTTTAAAAGCTGTGTGTGGTGGCGGGAAGGGATAGTGCATCGCAAAAAATTTTAATCCCAAATCCAATTGGCACCGAGGTAGCCAGCATGTGGATTCGTGACCCCGTCTGTGGACATTTTTAAATGATATACCTCGTACGCGTGAGTTTACACCGAAAACCTCGGTCCTCCTTCCATTAGACAAACTCTTTGGACACTTACCAAACCTCCCAATGCACGACTCCCCTAAACGTCTTCAGGCTCAGGTTTGTTTTCTGACACCGCAGAAATATTTTACTTCTAAACCTCTGAATCAATGTACAAGACCCTAGCATTTCGCTATACAATATATACAAAGAAACAGTACAATCACTTGATAAATTATTACCTAATATATAATCGTGGCGCACTACTTCCTAAAGCCCCTTGCAGGGTATAAACCACTGACATCAATATATAAACCCCATCATCTGACCCTTGTGTAAATCCACCGGTGCATGATGGTCTCACCCGCGCCGTGCGGGTCGCGGGTTTAACGTGGCCATACTTCACCACGTTGGTCAGCCGGTTCTGCACGTGTGCAAATATCATCACTGTAAACCACACACCAAATACTGTACATTAAATGAAACGGAAATGAAACACTCCCGAACTGATTCGCGCATGCGCACTACACACCCCCCCCCCGTCACCCGCTACCTCCCCACCCCCGCCGCGGCCCCCACCCCCGGCACGCACGCGCCCTCCGCGTCGCCGCGCTCCCACTGGCCGCGACGCATCACGTGTGGCGCGGCGCCCGTCCATGCCATTGGCTGGGGGACGCGGCGGCGCAGCGCGCGCACGGCGGCGGGGGGGGGGGGTGCGGGCGCCATGTTGACGAAGGGGGGGATCAGGAGAGCGAGGTGGGGGGGCGCACGCACGAGACCCATCGCACGCACGCGCCCGCTCACGCACGCGCCCGCTCACGCACACTCGCCCCCGCCGGCCTCGCACTTCCCCCTACCCAGCCCCACCCCTCACGCTCCCTTCACTCATTGTCGAACTGGCGCCTGCCTGCTCCTCCTGAGCGCCGAACGAATTATTTGTTTTTCCCTAAGGGGAAAAAAAAATCCAAACACAAATCCGAGCCGCACTTACCGCGTCGAAGGGCAAACGGTGCGCGGCGAGTAGCATAAGAGGCGGCGCGCGCGCTGAGATTGGTGCCTCTCGGCGCGGATTGACATCTCCCATCGGCCGCGGCAACTTAACGAACGCGAGGCGGGCTACGTCGCTGCCCGCGGTGACGTCACCGGCCGTGCGGGTGACGTCAACGGTGAGGAGGGCGGAGCCGGGGCGCGTGACGTCACGGGATAGGCGGGCCCCCGTGCCTGTGCGTGATTCGTTCGCGGCGCTGTTGCGCGTGACGTCGCGGTGGGGTGGGCGGGACCCGGCGCCCGTGACGTCGAGGGGAGGGCGAGGCCCCGAGCGCGTGTCGGACGTCGCGGAGAAGGGGGCGGGGCGGGGGTTAATTGCGCGTGACGTCACGGGGGGGGTGAGGGTTTTAAATAAACGGGAACATTTTGATTTAAAGCTTTCGTGACTGCAGTAATTCATATTCTTAGTTCTTTCGGTAAAGTCACGTTGAAGGGAAACAGTAAAATAACAAAATATATTTTAAAAAATGGAACTTTTGGAATGGAACTTTCTACAAACAAACTGAGGGCACCCCAATGGGCCCCCCCCCTATCTCCGGTTATAGCTAACATTTTCATGGAGAAATTTGAGACTGACGCCATCCAGACTGCCACTCTGCGCCCAACCTTATGGAAGAGGTACGTGGATGACACTTTTGTAATCTGGCCACATGGCCGGCCTGCTCTAGACCAATTCTTCGACCACATCAATTCCATACACCCAGCCATCAGATTTACCATGGAAGTCGAAAAAGATGGCAAGCTACCTTTTTTGGATGTCCTAATTAAAAAGAGACCTGATGGTTCAATGAGCCACTCTGTCTACAGGAAAGCTACCCATACGGATGCTTATCTGAAACCGGATTCCCACCACCATCCATCACAGAAGAATTCTCTCATCAAGACTCTGTATCATAGAGCCCAATGCATATCCGACCAGGAACACATAGGCAGTGAACTCAAGCACGTACACCAAGCTCTTAAGGCTAATGGTTACTCCGACTATACAATCTGCAAAGCTATCACTCAAACCATGAAGAAGGACCCTCTTGAGGAGCCTTTCAAAACCATCACTTTACCCTACATTGCGGAGATCACAAAAAAGATCTCCAAAATCTTGAATAAACACAAGATCGAGGTCCGTTTCAACACATTACATAAAATCCGTGATCTGGTTCCGTCTGTAAAGGATGTGATTCCGGACATACAATACCCTGGTGTCTACAAACTAAGTTGCCTCTGTGGTAGTAGTTACATTGGAGAAACCAAACGCCATGTCTCGGACCGCATTCGTGAACACAAAGCAGACCTTAAACACGGTAGGACCAACACCTCGGCCGTGGCAGATCATCGTTATAATTCAGTAGGCTCACATGACATTGACTTTTCCAAGACAGAGGTTCTTTGTAAGCCATCTGGCTACCATGAGAGATTCGTTCATGAGGCTATCCACATATACAAGCACAGAGACAATTTCAACCGAGAAGATGGATTCTGGCTTAGCAATCATTGGAAAGATTTGATAAACCATTTCAGGTCTTAATTGATTGTTCACGCTTACAGTGGCTTTCAGACAGCATACATTAAATTTTTCGTCTCCCCCCTCCTCTTTTCAGAACATAGATGGACTAGTCCTTCTAAATAAACTGACAAATCGCTGTGCGCGGCGCTGACGTTTTTTTTTATACATAAATACACCGTTTAAAAATAAATAAATTTATGCAAACCGATACACCTGATGACAACCGTTTGTGTTATGGTCGAAACGTCGTGAGAATTTTAATTGTTTTTATATATTTTTTTTATTATTTTATTGTTTCCCTTCAACGTGACTTTACCGAAAGAGCTAAGAATATAAACGGGGACATTCTTGGTTCTTTCGGTAAAGTCACGTAGAAGGGAAACAATAAAATAATAAAAATATAAAACAATAAAATTCTCACGACGTTTCGACTGCAACACAAGCAATCATCATCAGGTGTGAAAACCACAACAAGAAAATTTGAAAAAAGTGGCGGTTTTTTAACGTTGGTACCACGGAGAGCGATTTGGCAGTTATTCAGGTGGACGAGTCCATCTATGTTCGGAAAAGAGGAGGGGGGAGACGAAAATAATGGATGCGGTCTGAAAGCCACCTTAAGCGTGATCAATCAAGACCCGAAATGGTTTATCAAATTCTTCCAATGATTGGTAAGCCAGAATCCATCTTCTCGGTTGAAATTGTCTCTGTGTTTGTATATGTGGATAGCCTCATGAGCGAATCGCTCCCCGTGGTGCTAACGTTAAAAAACCGCCACTTTTTTCAAACTTTCTTGCTGTGGTTTTCACACCTGATGATGATTGCTTGTGTTGCAGTCGAAACGTCATGAGAATTTTATTGTTTTATATTTTTATTATTTTATTGTTTCCCTTCTACGTGGTGACTTTACCGAAAGAAACAAGAATATGAATCCCTGCAGTCACGAAAGCTTTAAATCAAAAATTAAAACGGGGACATTTGAAGTCGATGAGCAACGCGAAGTGACAACAGCAGTGGGCAGTGCAGCGCAGGGTTAATTGTTGCACAGTACCGCACCATTAAAACTATGCTCCCAGGTCAATGCTCCCCCACCTTCGTCAATCACGCACTTACCGGCTTGGTCACGTACGGGTCAAATAACCCCCATAAGGCTGTTGTTTATTATTGCATGGTGGGTCACCCATCACCCCCTTCACTATCCAGGCTCAGAGTGGTCTTCTGAGTTTTCGGGCGCGCGTTCCTAGCGATTTGATCTCTCCTTATTGAGAGGTTGTGACGAGAGGGGCTGTCATTGAGTGTGATGGTGGCGAGAAATCTCGCCCGGTATACAGGTTCATTTCATTGATTTGGTATAACCCTGTGAGCCATGCGGCTCTTGACTCGGGTGCAAACGCAACAAACAAAAACATGAACAAGAAAACATCTTGTGACCGGTGGTGGTCGAGACTAATACAGGTGATCGTGAATGCGATTCCGACCCTGACGCCTGCTGTATTTTTGAGTTTGCTATTATTTGTGGCCAGGTCGATTCTGAAAAAGAGCTACATAGCTCTAGTGGGCCCTTACCTGGTAAAATAAAAAGTTTAGTTTTCGTCATTAACGAACGTGGATAGTTTGTGAGAGTGACCAGCAGGTGCCGTGAGGCCAGCGCCGATAAAAAAAATGCCATTCATGACTGTGACGCTCAAGTGTCAGCTTTATCGAGACTTTTTTTTCCCACTGTTGGATGGAGGTCAATAAATAACAATTATTCGAGTGAAAAAGCAAATTGGAAATCCAAATATTGTATTACGACGGAGTAATAAGCTAACAGTGAACAAAGCAAATCACGTACAAGTTCGCTGAATGAAAGGAAATTATTCTTGAAGAATCGCAAATGGGAAAAAACAGCAGAATATGCACTCCTATGGCAAGTGTTAAAGGGGGTTAGGGATCGAAATTATTAAAGCGGCAAAAGACGGCAGGATGGAGGGCATTTTGGTAAACTGAATTTGATCATGAAAATCCCAGTACACTCGTGCCTGAAAAATAAACTAGTTTTTAAGAATTCCATATCACCCGCTATCATTTGTTGTTTGTGCTTCACTGCCTACGCAATGTCACCAAATAATTATAAATGACATCCGCATCTGGGCGAATGCACGTTAGGGGCAACATATTGATTGTTGTGGTAAGTTTGGGCTTGGGCAGGTTAGGGGCAACATATTGATTGTTGTGGTAAGTTTGGGGTTGGGCAGGTTAGGGACAACTTATTGATTGTTGTGGTAGGTTTGGGCTTGGGCAGGTTAGGGACAACTTATTGATTAAATTTTGATTTAAAGCTTTCGTGACTGCAGTAATTCATATTCTTAGTTTTTTCGGTAAAGTCACGTTGAAGAGACTTTACCGAAAAAACTAAGAATAACTTATTGATTGTTCTTGATTTGAAGCTTTCGTGACTGCAGGAATCCATACTCTTTGGTTCTTTCGGTAAAGAGTATATTGATTGTTGTAGTAAGTGTGGGCTTGAGCAGGACACGCCATGGCTAGAAGGGACGATGACCGGTGGTGGTCGAGACTAATGATTGAGTGGCAGTCAAATGCAGAGCCCACGCCCAGAGATTAGAACCATGAGATAAGCTCATTTGCAGGTGCTTGATGGACCCGATGGAGGCCTTTATCTAGCAGTGAATAGATCATGGCAGATGATGATTAAGATGATTGCCCTGCTAGCGTGGATGTGTAGGCCCATCTCTAACTCCCACACCATCCGTAAACCGTGCGAGTCACATGCATATGAGATGCTGATGTTGCTTTTTGATAATGCATGCACATAATAACGAAGAGATAATTATGATATTTTTTTACATTTCTTAATTTAATTATTGATAAGGAACCCCCTTCTCAGTTTTAAAGGTGACCGGAGTCAGGGCGCTCGGCAAGGACAGGGCGCTGGGCTGGTACCGCTGAGATCCTGGGTTCAAGGTCATGTAGCTGCCCATGGTTTAATCGGGCTCTCAAGTGTCGTGAGTTGATGGTCTCAGTCTGGTCACCAATGACTGGACACAAACATATACACCTACTTACATTGGTTCTGTACGTACAGAACCTCAATTCCAGCTATGAGAATTACAAATGTCAGGTTGACTGCCATGTTAAAAATATTCGGCGTTTTAATTTCTCACTCGATATTTTCTATAACTCTGCTGCGTTGGCTTGGAATTATGAATGATCAGCCTCCGGAATTGTTACAACTAAAGTGGAAAGTACCACCGATTCATAATAACCATTTATTATTGTACACTGTGCCACTCTGATTCTACGATAGCACAATTTGATAAGGACAAAATAAGGCGAGATGGTCGTGGTGTGCCAAAAGAATTCCCGATACAGCATTCCAAACCGTTCGCGTTCCAAGTTAAGCCCTGGTAATATGATCTCAAACAGGTCCCTGCAGGGTGGGCTGGTAGGACAAGTCTCTGCGCTGTCTATTGCTGATTTTACACACAACAGCACGAGATTTCACTTCGTTAAAGTATTGAAAGGGGACGGACGGACGGACACATTAATCTATTGCAGGCTGGTACACTCAGTTTACAACTTCGTTCCTACCAGTATAATATATCAGGTAAAGTAGGAAAATGCTGCCCTCTGCTGTGTAGGCCAGGTCCTGCGGACATATCCGGCTGAAATCAAGCGACATGTCTGGGTTACGCAATTGGCGACGAAATTTTGTGATATGACACCTAAGGTCACGGATTATATAAACGTTGCGTAACGTTTCTGAAAAGTAGATTGTGTACTGGGTTCGACTTGCACCACGTGCAATGCAGGTTTTGAATAGACCCAACAGCAAGTTTGTTCAATTGTCAGTTGTTCTGCAATAGATGTTGCTTCACCTCACTCCGTCAAGATATACAAGGGCACGTGGGTTACAGGTTTGCTAACACACCCAAAGCGCAGCTACCTCACTTACTATATCCATCATCGCTGGATTGCAAACAATTTCTGATTGGGGTGACAAAAGCACGTTCAATCTCGACTAAAAACAACAACCAAATAAGTGACAATATCACGTTGTTCCCCACGTTGTATTGAACGATATTGTTATCGATAGTAAAACTATTTGATTGGCACAACAATGTCATCTGAGCTGTAATGGAATGGCTATGTTACTAATCTGACTCAGGAGGAAGTGTGGTATCACCGCCGGCGCTACCCTCTCCTCGCACCCCCCCTCCCCACCACGCACGCCCCACTAAACACTCACATGCACCCCCGTAGGGTCTCGAGGAGGGATCACGTGGTACGATGGGTTTTCACCCGAGGACCCCACTAGCAGGGACGTTCCACAAATTTCCCCGGACCAGGAAATTGGCTGAGCCCCCCAGACCGGATTACATGGCGGCCCCCCCAAAAAGGGGACATAGAGCTTTACAGACCGGCCGCGATGAAGCATACACAACACGGGGGGATGGGACCTTCAGCCAGCACCCAGCGGCAGGGTAAACAGTGGGGTGGGAGGGAAAAGCCCCTAGGCAGATAAGAGTTGATTTAACCTTCTTTGGTTCTTTCGGTAAAGTCACGTAGAATGAGAATAAAATAATAAATTGATAAAATAAAATAACACAATAATATTCTCACGACGTTTCGGCCACAACACAAGCGGCCTTCATCAGGTGAAGGGGGCGAGACTGTCTGGTAGGACAGCGCTGGAGTTGATTTAAGTTGGAGGGGATTATCGGTGAGTCAACGGCGAGGAACGCAGGTACAGAGACAATGGGAAGGGGGGGATGACGCGACCCCCCCCCCCCCCCCCCAACGGCCAGAGCGCTCAAAACAGCCGTAAAAGAGGATTCGATTGGATGCGCAGGATGACGTCATATGACCCGAGGGTTAAGGGGCTTTGGAGACATAAGGGGACCGGAGGGGCGGATTGAATCAGAGTTCTTCTGGAGTGGCGGAGAATACCAGCCGCCCTCAGCGTCCGTGGGACGCCTGCACGGTGCAGCTGAAAACGATTGCCCAGGCAAAGTCTCCGAGGCGGGCATCTTCCCCAACCCCCATCGTGCAGCTGTAAAGGTGGGTCAGTACGGGGGGGGGGGGCAATTCAGCCCAGCTCGCAGTCAGCTCGAGCTTGCAGGATAGACGCACTCTGCGACGGCCAGGTGATAGGAGGTTAGGCACTGTCCGAAGGGTGCTGGTTGGAGGCGGCCATAAAAAGGTTTCCCTATCCGCTCCGGGAAATAAATCTTAGCATAGACTGACGTTTGACGCATGGTACATGTGTGCGTGTGAAGAGCGGTGGGACAGCGATCGGCGTACGGCGGTGTGTGGACGACTATAAATCAGTGTGGGTGTGACGCACGCGCATATTAAAATATCAACGGTGGCCCGCGCCGGCGCGTGTCTGTGCGTGCACTGCCGTGTTAACGGTGAGACACACGCGAGTGTCTCGTGTGTCTATGTGTGCACCACAGTGTTAACGGTGAGACATACGTGGGTGTCACTAGTGTCTGTGTGTCTCACCGCAGTGTTAACGGTGTGTCTCACCGCAGTGTTAACGGTGAGACACACGTGAGTGTCACGTGTGTCTGTGTGTCTCACCGCAGTGTTAACGGTGAGACACACGCGAGTGTCGCGTGTGTCTGTGTGTGCACCGCAGTGTTAACGGTGAGACACACGTGAGTGTCACTGGTGTCTGTGTGCACCACAGTGTTAACGGTGAGACACACGTGTCACTAGTGTGTCTGTGTGCACACCGCAGTGTTAACAGTGAGACACACGTGAGTGTCACTAGTGTCTGTGCGTGCACCGCGGTGTTAACGGTGAGACACACGTGTCACTAGTGTTTGTACCGCAGTGTTAACGGTGAGACACACGTGGGTGTCACGTGTGTCTGTGTGTGCACCACAGTGTTAACGGTGAGACACACGTTGGAGTCACTAGTGTCTGTGTGTGCACCACAGTGTTAACGGTGAGACACGAGTGTCACTAGTGTCTGTGTGTGCACCACAGTGTTAACGGTGAGACACACGCGAGTGTCACGTGTGTCTGTGTGTGCACCACAGTGTTAACGGTGAGACACACGTGAGTGTCACGTGTGTCTGTGTGTGCATCACAGTGTTAACGGTGAGACACACGCGAGTGTCACGTGTGTCTGTGTGTGCACCACAGTGTTAACGGTGAGACACACGTGAGTGTCACGTGTGTCTGTGTGTGCACCACAGTGTTAACGGTGAGACACACGCGAGTGTCACGTGTGTCTGTGTGTGCACCACAGTGTTAACGGTGAGACACACGTGAGTGTCACGTGTGTCTGTGCGTGCACCACAGTGTTAACGGTGAGACACACGTGAGTGTCACTAGTGTGTCTGTGTGCACCACAGTGTTAACGGTGAGACACACGCGAGTGTCACGTGTGTCTGTGTGTGCACCACAGTGTTAACGGTGAGACACACGTGGGTGTCACTAGTGTCTGTGCGTGCACCACAGTGTTAACGGTGAGACACACGCGAGTGTCACGTGTGTCTGTGTGTGCACCACAGTGTTAACGGTGAGACACACGTGAGTGTCACGTGTGTCTGTGCGTGCACCACAGTGTTAACGGTGAGACACACGTGAGTGTCACTAGTGTGTCTGTGTGCACCACAGTGTTAACGGTGAGACACACGCGAGTGTCACGTGTGTCTGTGTGTGCACCACAGTGTTAACGGTGAGACACACGTGGGTGTCACTAGTGTCTGTGCGTGCACCACAGTGTTAACGGTGAGACACACGTGTCACTAGTGTCTGTGTGTGCACCACAGTGTTAATGGTGAGACACACGTGAGTGTCACGTGTGAGTGTCACTAGTGTCTATGGGCGCACCGCAGTGTTAACGGTGAGACACGCGCGACACAACGGCTAAGTGGAAATTATTAAATTTTTATTTAAAGCTTTCGTGACGGCAGTAATTCATATTCTTAGCTCTTTCGGTAAAGTCACGTTGAAGGGAAACTAAAATAATAAAATATATCTTTTATTGTTTCCCTTCAACGTGACTTTACCGAAAGAGCTAAGAATATGGAAATTATTAATTAAACCCCACAGAGCGGCGAGTCAAACAATTACGTAATCCACGCGGTTGGGAGGCATCAGTGGGGGGGGGGCACGCGGCGCGTAATCAGCCCCTAGGCGGTGTCGGCAGCCGCTGCCTATGTCGGTCCGAGAGGACCCTGGGGCGGGGGGGGGGGTCACCCGATCGGTGGGGTGGGGGGCACGAGCGACACAAACGCGGAGGGGACGGGGGGGGGAGGAGGCAAACGCCCCCCCACCACCGCGCGAGGAGGGGGAGGAGGTGAGTGACCCCCCCCCCAAATGGCGGGTGGGGGGGAGGGCATTAGCCCCCACCAAGTAGACGTGGCGCCCCCACCCCCGCTCGTGGTGGGGGAGGGGGTATCTGCCCCCACATAGTGGGGAGTGGGGGGGGCATTAGCCCCCACAGAAGCAAAGACGCGTGGTTTTATTTTCTGTGACAAAGCCTCAGCGATTACGACTGTCGCTATACACGGAGCACATAGTCCTACCTCACAGTAAGTCACCGGTGGCCAGTCGCCTCCTTATCGCTCTTCCATCGCTACTTCCGACTCTTTGGTCTCGTTGCCATATGGTAGCGCGTTTCCCTGCTTGTTGTAGAGGTTCACGGTTCGAATTCAGCTGCGGTGTAAATTACCATGAATATGCATCGTATGTTTCACGGAGGGACGTTAAAGATCCCTTGACGTAATTCCCGAGACAAGGTGATTGTGTACCGGCATTCAAAATGTGCACCGCAAATTAATCAATTTGAATTACAGTATACACATACACCAGTAACCACCACCCCCTACGAGCAGACTAACGTCACTTTTGAAAAAGTGACGATATCCTGTTCTCGAGTTCTCGCCCGGATAAACATAAAATAAACTAAAACTAAACTTACTTGCTTGAAGTTAGAACACGTTCCGCTTCTTCTCTCGCATAGTTCGACTTTGGAATTCCCTCCCAGCATTTGATCTTTTCCACAAGTGTTTAAAATACAATAAATAACCTTGCTCAACTCAATGAACCTGTTAAATTGCTGTTTTGTGCCTGTGCTTAGCCACTGTGGTTTAAACAAAAAACATCAGATGTCCCCGTGGCTTCCTGCCAGAATGTATGCCCGACGTCACGCCCCAAATTTTGCTCTATTATAAAGATTACTCGTTAATTACTCAATTGGGAGAATACACAGCAACATCACCCCCTGCTGCGAAACTACTGCAGATTACGTCTTCGTGATAACGTTTGCTCTCGAAGGATGGCGTGAATATACACGATTTGATTTAATTTTTCATAGGATCCCCCCAGGACCAAAAAAAAACTACCCCAAATGCAATGCTTTGCCACGTTCAACTCAGCGAAGAATTATTGCACACTTTAACAAATCCCTGGTTCCTGTTTAAAAAAAAAACACGCACGTGTCATGGTTCTGTTAAAAATGACTCTCTCAATACGGTCGTGGCGACGTCGGCATCAACTCGACATCTCCCCTCACAACACACACAAATGTCTTCTTCCATCACCTCCATTGGCATTGCCCCCTGAATTAAGGGCCACAGGTGGTAGAAACTAAAGCATGCTTGGCAAAGATCTTGATGTCAGGGACATGGTGTGTAGCGTTCGCATGGACAAGCACACGCGTCTCACCGGGAATAAGCGTGACACTGACGGCCGGGCGGGGGGGGGGAGAGGTATTACGCAACTAATGGTCATCGCATATAATACCACCGTTCTACACAATCATTCATTCGCGCGTCAGCAGTGAGCCGTGAAAGACGCTTCGGTGGAAGGAAGGAAAAAAAAAGGCTGGCGATTCGTCAGAGTTGTTGCTTGTTATGGGCGGCGTTGGTTGGACGTGGGGCGTGTTGACACGCAGGACATTCGATGAACACTGATTTAGAGCGACCTAACGAATCTGTTTCGCATCGTCATGAATATCTAGACACACACACAGAGAGGCAACATTTCACGAGTTGCTCCGATTAGCACGGTCGGCTTACGTACGGGTTCGCGATAAGTTCCAAAGATATACACAGGCAGTGCACACGTGCGCCACCCGTCGCGTTCGGCAGCGATGAATTTCGACGACGTTCTCAAGAAGATCGGAGGCTTCGGAAAGTTCCAGATGATTTTGTACACGTGGATCTGCCTGCCGCATATCTCCATCGCGATGCACATGCTCGTGTCGGTGTTCGCGGGCGCCACCCCGGCACACTTCTGCCGCGACCCCCCCGGGGGCCACGCTCCGGTGCCCTCGGCCACCACCGCTCCCCCCACGGCCGGGGAGTCGGCAGCTGCCAACGGGACGGAGCGGCCGCGGTGCGGCAGCCGCCTGAACGAGAGCGGGTGGCAGCCATGCGCCACGGGGTGGGATTACGACCGCAGCGTCTTCACCAGCACCGTGGTCACCGAGGTGAGTCGGCACGCAGGGAGCCTCCCGGAGCTCCATGAGCATCACTGTCATCTGCAGCAGCACCTGCTGTTGTAATACGATAAGGTAAAAGACTCGAAAGTGTGGCTTCCTGCTCAAAGGAACATTGAGGCGGTAATCGTCTTCTGTTTAATGCCCCTTCGAGTCAGTGACGGGAATTTCACATTGCTATGGAGGGGGGGGGGGGGCGCACGCAATAGGTCAATCACTTATAACTTTCTTGACTGCAGGAATTCATATTCTTGGTTCTTTCGGTAAAGTCACGTAGATAGAAAATAAAATAAAAAAATAAATTAAAAATAAAAGAACCAACTCCCCCACTTTGTGTCGAAAGCGCTCCAGAATGTTGCATTTTTAAAATCAATGCTTGTGAAAAAAACTTTAAGTGGAGACGTTGGTTATTTATTTCGCTATTTACCAACTATAATCACCCAGAAATGTCTGTCCGTCCCGCGCGTGACGTCACTCCACATGAGGCCCACCCTCCCTCATTAATATTCATGAGTCCCACCCTCCCTCATTAATATTCATGAGTGGGTGGATTTTTACACTCATGCAGAGGAAGGTCGAGCTGAATTAAATAATTTATTACGCAAAGCCGCTCCAAAAGTGACGTTTCTTTACAGAAAGTGACGGTAAAAAATGCATCTACGCAGCAACAGTGCTACATTCGTGCGTGACGTCACTGCAAAAGAGCCCCCCCCTTCATTTATCCTGGATTTTTCTGTTTGCGCGAAGTCACTTTAAGATATTTTCTTGTTCATGAAACTGAAACATTAATATTCATGCACGCGTGGAAATTTACTCTGACGCACAAGGAGGTCGCGCACTCCACATGCCGCACCCCTCCACAATAACCATATAAGGGTGACGTCACTCCACATGGGGCAAACCCCTCCCCCCTTATTAATAATCATGAGCTGAACACTTTTTCTATATTGAATATTTCAGATTTACTGCAATATACACCCGTCCTTGGATGGGCAAAACAGCGAGTTTATATTACTTTGGGTTGTATACTCCTGTGTTTACTACCATACAAAGCACACATTCAGCGCAATTTGGAATCCAACTGTTGTCAAAATCTGTGGTGGAGCACCCAGTTTCTCCCTCACTGCACCTGACAGCAGTACAACATACAAAACATACGTGTTCGCACTTACTGCGAGGAACTTAGTCACGCGTCAGCGATAAACGCAACTGCCCTGGCTCGCACAGGAGAAACCAAAACTGCGGATGGCACATCGCAAATACTGGCCGTCCCCGGGTTACAGAAGACCCGACTTACGGACACCGACTTACTGACACCCGACTTACGGAAACCCGCCTTTACGGGAATGCTCCCATAAATCATGTACAAATAATAATTTTAATACTGTATGCATAAATGTTTGTATTAGTTACGTAAGCGCAAATAGTTCAGCGCGGTGAGGTTGCGGAAGAATGCAGCGGAGCGAGGCGTAAGGTGGAACAGCTGCGTATTCCCGAATGCGGTGGTGTCCTGTAGAGTGTAGACCACTCTGTTACATTGTTACCCCCAGTAGACTCTCCTCCCCGCCACGTCGTCTCTTTTCCTTTTGCAGCATTACGTCATTGTTTGTTTTCTATTGTTCGTGATATTCATAAACAATTGGACACAGTACAGTATGGGTTCCATTAGTTGCGGCATGGGTAGAGTTTGGGTAGATATTCGATCAAATGAAAGAATCGTAGGAATTGCAGAGCGTATGCACAGCGATAGTGGTAGAAAACAGACGGCAGCACGATACAGTACTGAGAGAAAACGGTAGGGGAGAGACAGCTATTCACAACTATGGCATTTGATGTTGATTTGGGGGGAAATTTGTTCAGTTTCCGACATACGGATCATTCGGGTTACGGATATTCCTCGGAAACCCAACGGTACACAAATACACACGCGGATGCAAGCAATACTATTGTCACCGAAGAATAATAAGAAACAACTGCGATCAAACTCTACACTAAATAAGTGGAAGGTGATGGGAGTAAATCTAAGGCGGATTTTTCCATGGTATTCGCAGGGACGTACATCGAGACCAAAATTCAACGCTCTTCGCAGCCTTTATGGCGTCAATTCACTCCTGGATCAATGTCTCCCCATGCAGTGTCGATCATGTGTGTGTGTGCGTGTGCGTCCATCTCTGTGTTCCCCGCGTGTGCCTCCCGTTGCCTCGATGCCCCCCTGCACGTGCGCGTGCGTGCGCGTGTGTGTCCCTGTCACCCGTGTCGCTGGCAGTGGGACCTGGTCTGCACGAGAAGTTACCTCAATAACGTGGGCTCGTCCATCTTCATGCTGGGCCTGATGGTGGGGGCTCCCGTGCTTGGGACCATGGCTGACAAGTGTGTCTCACGTGGCCAGAACCGCGCACTCACAACGAGTCGCAGACACACAGCGCACGCACGCACACACGGGTCAAAGGTAATCTTCTTCTGGGGTCATTTCTCGGGTCCCGCGTGTGGAAGTGGTGCACACAGCAGCGAGCGGTCGCCGTTCCGAAGCGGTTGATGGAGCCACCACTGTTTTCTTTCTTGGTGGATCGATCAAAGCCATGCAGAGCTGTGTTCGGGCCCTCAATGGGGCTTTGATTAGGAACCTCAGCAACATAACTCCACAGTGACAATGTCAATAATTAACTGTCACAGACAGGCCAAACAGATTTCATCAATGTCATGGACAAATGGGTTTGTGCCAAACCCGTGGACAAATGTTTGTTGATTGCAAAGCATTTTTGTGTGATTCTACTCTTGCGTATGGCAGTGTTCGTGGACTAAATGCCAACGTCAAGGTCTGCGCGCCACGACGGGAGGTCTTCAGGAGTTTGTGTCGTTTTGGCTGTTCCTCCATTGAAGGAACACAGCATACAGTGGTTTACTATGAGGTCCATAGTGTTGGGTTGCATGGCCATAGTCGCTGGGGTTTGCCGTTTCGTGATAACCAACGATAATGATATCACAAATTAACTTTTATATACTACTAGCTGTACTACCCGGCTTCGCCCGGGACTTGGATCCACCACGCCCGGCCGCCTTTATCTCCCCAGTGGCGATGTTCACACACCATAGCAGTTACTCGTTTGAGGCTGAGTCGACCTAGGGGAGGCCCAGGAGCGGTTGAAATAAACGTCACTGGTGGTGGCCGTGAGCGGGAATCGAACTCGGGGAGTCGGGTTCATAGCGCGACGCGCTAACCACTACACTACAATGCGTTACGCCTCCACATGCGCGGGTCACGTGACAGATTTGACGTCACAGCTCACTTGCTGTGCAAAAAATATATGCATTATTGAGCTTCCTCCCCCCCAAAAAGTGTATTTTTATAATGTTTGCATGGTGTACCGTCTGGAAAGTACCCACATGGCAAATTTCCAGTTTGTTGCATGTCGGGAAGTATGCTAAACATTTTGAACAGACACACATATTCACAACTTTGCCATTTATATATATGGAGATATGCAGAAATCACTACCATTCAGGTTTTACTACCATGGGTGGACTCTGATCCATCGATGAAGCATGTTAATTTATCAACGTCGCTAATCACGTGTGCTTACTTACAGTGCAGTGTGCGAGGTGTGGAGCAGCTGGATTAGGGTAACGGAGATGGTTCTATTATTATATTCTTAGTTTTTTCGGTAAAGTCACGTTGAAGAGAAACAACAAAATAACAAAATATATATAAAACAATAAAAAATTCTCACGACGTTTCGACCATAACTCAAACGGTCATCATCAGGTGTGTCGGTTTGCATAAATTTATTTTGAAAACGGCATATTTATTTATTTATATATATAAAAATAACGTTTGCGTCACGCGCAACGATTGGCTGTTTGCCAGGACTAGTCCATCTATTTTTTGAAAAGAGGAGGGGGGAGACGAAATTTGTTTTTATGTATGCTGTCTGAAAGCCACTGTAAGCGTGAACAATCAATCAAGAACTGAAATGATTTATCAAATCTTTCCAATGATTGCTAAGATAGAATCCATCTTCTCGGTTGAAATTGTCTCTGTGTTTGTATATGTGGATAGCCTCATGAACGAATCTCTCATGGAAGCCAGATGGCTTACAAAGAACCTCCGTCTTGGAAAAGTCAATGGCATGTGAGCCTACTGAATTAGAACAATGATCTGCTACGGCCGAGGTGTTGGTCCTACCGTGTTTAAGGTCTGCTTTATGTTCACGAATGCGGTCCGAGATATGGCGTTTGGTTTCTCCTGTTGAGAGGAGATGCACGAGGTGATTACAGGGTGGTCGAGTATGGAAGGAAATGTGAAGGTGCTCGGTCAGCCACAGTGTGTTGGGGTGCTGTGACGCTGGCCATGGTCAAGCCCGGTTTATTTTATTGAACTAGGTGAGAGCTGAAGACGTAGGCTTTCGCGACCAATATCCATAATATAGGATTTGGTTTAGATTGCGTAAATATAAATGTGTCGTTAAACCAGCCACCACCCGACAAAGCCAATTAGTAAGGTTTGTATATGGAAGACTTTGAAGCAAAAGCAATAGCTTCAAGCACACTAAAACCCTCTGTTTGGTTTAGATATGTGGATGACACATTGGTGGTCTGGCCACACGGTAAAGATACACTTAAATCATTTCTAAATAATTTCAATTAGCAAAATCCATCCATAGATTTCACCGTGGAATTGGTGTCTGATAGAACTCTCCCATAAACCATTTGTGGATATTCTACTCGGGTGCAACCGAAACGGTAAAATATCAGTGCTTACCGAAGGAAAACGCACGCTGACGCCTATCTGAATGCAGTCACACCACCACCGCGCACAGAAAACCTTTCTCATCACGGCGCTCATACATCAGCCTAAGAAAGTGTCAGATGGTGAAAGTCTGAGGAGTGAGATTAAACATGTTAAACAAGCGCTGCAATTGAATGGGCTACAATGATGCACAAATCAAAAGGGGACTGAATGTCAAAACCAAATAAAATAGCACAAGCGTTGAACTGATCAAGCAATTACTTTTATTAAAATACCATACATTGTGGGAGTAACTGATTAACTGGCCAGATGTTTGGAAAAACAAAACATCCGAGTGAGATTTGGCACGGAACACAAAAAACGAATATCTGGTACGAAAGATGAATTACCAAAGCGATCAATAGAAGGTGTGTACCGGATAAATTGCTCCTGTGGCAAATGCTATGTTGGTCAGACAGGACGAATAATCAGCTTGAGACTAAAAGAACACCAAAGGAATATTAAATACTCCAAAATACAACTGTTGGCAGTGGCAGAACACGCGTGCCAACAAGGACACTCATTTGATTCTTATGTTGGAGTTCTGTGTTAGGACTGGCCAAGACTAATTAGAGAATATCGAAATTGAGAGAAATGTTAATAATTTTAACCGTTCTGATAGTTACAGGCTTAGTGCTGCTTGGAAGCGAATTATCAAGTATACACTGCTTAACTGCATGCCTATACAGATCACGATACGTCGATGGTAATAAACTGTAAACAGACATTAACAGCTATTGCGATTTATTGCACCCAAAAACGGTAGGCTGTATATGCATGGTGTGCATGCATAATATGCATGCATAATGTATGTTGATTATTCTATGAATAATGAAATCGGTAATGGATATGCATTGTAATTTATATGCACACATTAACCCCAGCCCCTCCCCCCGGCCTTTGCACCTGATTGGCTCACAAGTGACATCAGATTAATCCCACTATGTAAGACCGAAACAGGAAGATTTCTCCACAACTCTGGATATTGCCTGATGATGCTGGTTGTAATTACTGGCGAAAGGTCGTACTAGAATTGTAAATGCTGTGGGTTTACTCTCCAACTCATCGGTATGCTGTATTAGCAACGAATTGTCATGTTTTGTTTACGTGACAACCCTTACTAATTGGCTGTCAGATGGTGGCGGGTTTAACGACACATTTATATTTACTCAATCTAACCCCAAAACCTCTATTCAGGTGAGAGCTCAAGAAATCAAGGATAGTCGCCTTTGCAAAAGTGGCCAAAATGTAAAAAGTAAAACAATGTACAGCAGCAAGAAACCAAATAGAAAGCAGCACAAACACAACTATCACACGGGAAATAGAGAATACTGCACGAACAGAAATCAACATAAATCAGTGCTCGCTCGTTTCTCGGTCTGCTTGTCCTGGTGAAGGTAGCGGTGGCAGCTTGTTGAGTAGTGGCGATCCAGACCTCCCTTTCCCTGGCGACGTAGTCTAGCTAAATCGATGTGAAAACATTAATTCCCTGTAGCGTAGGTCGGTTTAGGCGGATAAGTTTTATACTCGCATTCTAGTACCATTACAATTAGGTTACAAAACCGTAAACAGTTATAGGGTTATTGCACGAAAATGTAATCCGACAACGATATAAAAGTCAAATGCAATTGCAAGTGAACCTGTCGTTATTTGAAGTCAACAGTTTTAGCATCAGATTCTTCTTTAGATCGGAGAGGAAGAAAGGGCATTCTTTGAGCGATCAAGTTCCAAATGTTTTGGTCGGGCATTAACAGATCGAGAATGAGTGAGATGACTTTATTGTCCACAGCAAAGTGTAGATTGTGTTTATATCGCTGCCTCCTGGCCAGTGACTCTGGCTCTGAGACCCTGACAAATCCTCCAGGGTTCGTGCATGGACACCTGGCTGGACATTCCTCCAGTGTTTACTGTCGCCTGGCATAGCTCGTGTTATGTTCGCCTCATACCCTTGCTCTTGTTGTGTTTCTCTGGAGTGGACTCGCTCGTTCGTGTTATGTTTACCCCATACCCCAGCTCTTGTTTGTTTTGTTTCTCTGTGGTGGTCCCATCCATATTTGTTGTAGAACGTGGTTTGCAAAGTTCAGCGTTTTTAGGGGGCAACTTGCATGAACGATGTTACGTAATATAATATTATTATTAACATTATTATATCTAACCTCTGGCTGACAGGAAAAAGCTGAAAAAAAATCAATATATTATTTTGAATGAACGTGTGCACCGTTGTATACATTCTCTGAGACAATAGTTTTAACTTCTACACGTGTGACATGTATTGTCAGGTAGGAACACCCTGAGACAGGTCTCTTTTTGGAGAGACATGGTTTGCAAATTAACAATGCACGGTCCAAAACACGCACGATAATCATTGACCGTAGCTGTGGAGAATATAAGGAGCGAATTAAATAAGCCTGCTCCACAGGTGCCGAGTTCACAGTGCAGCGCGCTATCCGCCGTGCCACTGTTCCACCCTCCCATAAAACGCAGGGATCAAATTAAGCCATTCTCACGCACGAGGTTCGATGCGTGATTCGCGCGAGCTCGAGAATCATTCGTTTAGCAAGTGCTTAATCTCCGAGGCATCCAATCGTGCTCTCGTCGGTTCTCGTAGAGACTTCCGCAAAACTCCGTGAACCGGCCATCAACAATATGCGACACTGTTTGTGCAGTGCCCCGGCTGGAGTTTGGGTTACCACAAAGACCTGAAACGGCGGTGGTTGACTTGATCACTTGTACGTAGAACTTCTTTCACACCGTACGTAGCTAGTGGTGCTAATCGACTTAAAACTGTGATGTATCGTTGCAGGTACGGCCGTAAGTCCGTCATCCTCGTCTCGATGGCAATTCAGACGGCCTTCGGCCTCGGGGCGGCGTTCGCGCCCAACTTCGTGATGTACGCCTTGGCCCGTTTCATGGTCGGAGTCGCCATCTCGGGCGTCATCATGAACGCCTTCGTGTTGGGTGAGCCTCGCTTGGGGAAGGAGGGGCGTCGTTAATGGGCGGCAGTGGGGGGAGCAGACCCGCTCCTAAACTTTACAAAATACATGGCCGACATTAAGCCATGGTCAGGTGTCTGGAAGCAGATATAAACTAAACAAACATTTTTTTTAGCAGGTAAGGCCCATTGCGATAGAAAACTCTTGTTCAGTATCGACCTGGCCACAAGTGATAGCCCAACAAAGTGGCATATCATGTGGACATTTATAGTAGCAGCCAAATAATATAAACGCATGTATCTAAAGGTGGAGGGAAAAACCGGAGGATGCGGAGACAAATCCACGTATCTACACGGAGAACATGTAAATTCCAGGCAAGGTAGTTCACATCTCGCCACTGTGGCGGCCTTAAGTTCGTGCCAGATTAATGTAGAGACATTAATGGAACACCTATTTTTAACAACGGTCAGAAAATATGACTGCAGACCTCAGGTTTGGTTCCTTTAACCAGAGTCTTAAATCACCCAGAGATGCTAGACTTAGTAACACATTGGGAGCTTAGTAACACATGGGCCAGGAACATGGACGCTGACAAAATATAATGGGAAAATATAAATAAATCCTTCGAAAGAAGCATGTAGAGATTAATGCTTGGAATTACACTGAAAAAAATAATAAGCACATTGATCGGGGAAGAAATGTAAAATCGGAGACAGAGATTACATCAGAGATAACATCGTCATCCGCTCAGCCGACAAGGGCAATGCCACAGTTATCATGAACAAACCCACATACAAAAACAAAATTAAGGACCTACTTAATGATGGTAGCTACACCAAAATTAAAAGATTCCACCAACGGCCTCTTTACGAAAACCAACAATATCATCACTGATTCGACATCTTTGATCAAACCAACCAAGCGGTTTTCCTTAAAACCCTCTGCTGCTAGACCACCCATATTTTACGGCTTACCAAAAATCCATAAATTAGGGACACCCCTTCGTCTTATCATCTCCACCATTGACTCACCCACCTACAAACTGGCCCGATTTCTGTCTGAGACCTTCCAAACATTCACTGGTAAGACCACCTCAGCTGTACTCAACTCAGCTCACTTGATATCTTTAATTAAGGACATCTCACTATCTCCAGGTGATTTGCTCGTTAGTTTCGATGTGGTCTCTTTGTTTACCAAAGTTCCTGTGCCTGACACCATTGCAATCATTGAAGATTTGGTCCAACAAGGACTGAATGCTGATGTACCGGCCCTGGTGAGACACTGCCTCACCAACACTGACTTCACCTGGAATGGGACATTCTACAAACAAGTTGAAGGTACCCCAATGGGTTCTTTCTTATCTCCAGTTGTAGCCAATGTCTTCATGGAAATTTTTTAGACAGATGCTATCCAGAAGAGGTACGTGGATGACATGTTCGTCATCTGGCCACATGGCCGACCAGCTCTGAACCAATTCCTCAACCACATCAATTCCATACACCCAGCCATCAAATTCACCATGGAGGTGGAAAAGGATGGAAAGTTACCATTCTTGGATGTTTTAATCGAAAAGAGACCAGATGTCTCAAAGGGACACGCTGTCTACAGGAAAGCCACCCATATGGATGCCTACCTAAAACCTGACTGCCACCACCATCCATCACAGAAGAATTCCCTCATGAAGACTCTACACCATAGAGCTCGATGAATTTCCGACCATCATCACCTAGCCAGTGAACTGGAACACGTACATCAAGTTCTCAAGGTGAATGGATATTCAGACTCCACAATCCGTAAAGCTATCACCCCAACCATTGGGAAAGAACCATCTGAAGACCCAATAAAAACCATCACCTTCCCATACATAGCAGGGGTCACTAAAAAGATTTCCAATATCATGAGCAAACACAACATCCGGGTTTGATTTAACACAGTACATACAATTTGGGATCTGATCCCATCTGTGAAGGATGTGATCTCTGACATGCAATACCCGGCGTCTACAAACTAAGCTGTGTCTGCGGCAGTAGTTACATTGGGGAAACGAAATTACATATCTCGGACCGCGTTGGTGAACATAAGGCAGATCTGAAACACGGTAGGACCAATACCTCGGCCATGGCTGATCATTGTTTGAATGCGGTGGGCTCACACGAAATTGATTTCTCTAAGACGAAGGTACTTTGCAAGCCCACTGGCTATCAACAAAGATTCGTTCATGAAGCCATCCACATATACAGACACAGACACAACTTCAATAGAGAAGATGGGTACAAACTGAGAAATCACTGGAAGGACGTTATTAACGAGTTTAAGTCATAATTGGCTATAATGTTCCCATGTTCCCATCCTTCCACCTTCCGATGTTAGTTGTGCTTTACGCCAATTTTAAACTTGCGCTTTCACAGCCGCTTTGCCCGCCGACCCCTTGGTTGCGGCTCTACGATCTACCATCAACTTGCTAATCTCTCTTTAACATGCTAATTTTCACCTGGCAGCCCTTTGATTGGTGGAAAACCAACCACCGTCGGGTTGGCTGCCCACCACTTACATTATCATTGGCTGCTAACATTTGGGCTACGCCCATTTCAAACCCTCATAAACAGTTTGCCTTGGTAGCTAACCCCCCTTTTCCTGCAGATGACCGCTTGTGTTGCGATAGAAACGTTGTAGTTTTTTGTTATTTTCTTTGAACCTATCTACGTGACTTTACCGAAAGACCCAAGAATACAGAGACATCAAATTGATGGTTAAGAAAGGTGAGCCATCGGAATAGCTAGAAGTGATATTGGCCGATGGACATGGCGGTGATGGAAGAGAAGTCAAAGGGGTAAATGTGCACTTGAGGGCAACTACTGCGAAGATGGAGCGATGAGATTGAGTTACGTAGAAGAATGAAATGGATTGTGGCATTGTAGGACTGTATGGGTTGGCCAGGGCATGGGAAAGCCCTTATTCAGCAGTTGATATACAATTGTTGATAATGAATGCCTGGGTAAATGGGACATTGCTTAATTGTACTCGGGAGATGATTCAAGGAAGTCAGGTCATACGTGCCTATCGAATCCACCACAATCTTAACTACCACCATTATCGACACTGCCACCACAATAATCACAACCACCAACATCATCACTCTCACCTTCATTATCACCACCACTACAATCAACATCGCCATCATTCATGAGCACCACCTTCAACGACTGTGTATGCAGCAGTTGACCCCAACGACTCGATGAACTCATTTATATTGTTCTATCGCTCTTCGCTTTTGTCTGCCTCGTTGGCACATCCACGCGTAACATTGGCACGCAATTTAAAATTGACGACAACAAGCGAAACATGCTTCTCGAGTCAACGCCTGATCGCTACCCGCTGCTGCTGCTGCTGCTGCCACCGCTGCCAGCCACGGAGTGGACGGGCATCGGCGAGCGCATGCTGGCCGGAATCGCCACTCAGCAGGCGTTCGGCGTGGGCTACATGCTGCTCGCACCCGTCGCCTACTTCATCCGCGACTGGCGCCAACTGCAGCTCGCCATCTCCATCCCCGAGATCCTCTTCATCGCCTACATCTGGTGAGGAGCAACGGCGGCAACGGCAGCGGCGGCGGTGGCGGCGAGGCCCGTGCTTCTCACGGCGACGATGACCCCGGCAGGGAAAACGGCGGCGGCTGTCGCGCTGAACTTTGAATCGTGTGGTCGCGTGCGCCGTGACCTCGGTCGATCCTCGTTGCGCGAAATGACATTTGCTCGCGTGGTAATTACAACCCGCAATTCGTAACACGCGCATAATGCGCACACGTAACTACGTGGGTGCGGAGCTGAGCTCAGAGTTCCCCCATGCTCTCGTCAAAAGAGACGAGCCTCGCCGCTGCTGCTTAGGAACGGAGGGAGCGTCGCTGCTGTCTATTTGCAGAGGGATGGAGTTTCAGGCAACAGGTGCAGCAGCAAGCAGAGGAACGCCACTCGCCTAAGACGGTCATGGTTCTGGGAGCAGCGAGCAGCCTCTGACGAGCTCCATCGTGGCCCCGCGACTCTCCGCAGTCCGCGGTGTAAGGAGACTGGTCAGATAACGGCCGTGAATGAGGGCTTGTCAACGCAGGACAGCAATTTGTATGCTCGATCGAGCATCCATTCATTTCAAACTAAACACTGTTCGGGAGTCGAGTGATTTTCTGCTCGACTGAGCATTGGAGCAGTGCCCCTCCCCTGCTGCACCTTTCTCTGGTGTCGGCAACTCTGTCTATAGCACATTCACTGTTGGCGTCGCCACAGAATGGTACTGAATGTTTTCAACCCCGGAGGAATGATGTGCTGTGTCAACTCTCAACACCAGGATTGGAACTCGCAAAAGCTTCCGAAGTGCGTGCCGCTCTCTGGTTTACTCATTACGAATGTAGATCTTTGGAAAGTAAAGCAACAGTTTGCAGGCATTTTGAAGGGATGTTGTCAAATAGTAAAGAAACGTCTTGGTCTTCAAGAGGGTCCTGCCATATTTTGACAGTCGGAGGGCAATGTGGCTGATGTGTGGAATCCCTGTTTAATAATTTGCAGGTCATTTTTAAGCGTGTACGTATGTTGAACTTCTTTCGCACCGTTTGTAGCTAACCGTGCTAATTGGAGATGCTGGGGGAATGTCCACAAACTAAACACAAAAAGCAACATCGGGATATTTGGTCAATACCAGTTTCATTCTGTCTATTCAGCTATGAGAGGAAACCCATCCAGAGCAGGGGGGGGGGGTGAGAATATACAAACTCTACAACCACAGGCGCCCAAGTCGGGTGTCGAACCCAGGGCATTGCTGCGAGGCGCGAGTGGTACCAGTGAATGTGGAAGTGAATGTGGTAGTGAACGTGGTAGTGAACGTAATAGTGAATGTGGTAGTGAATGTGGTAGTGAACGTGGTAGTGAACGTGATAGTGAATGTGGTAGTGAATGTGGTAGTGAACGTGATAGTGAACGTGATAGTGAATGTGGTAGTGAATGTGGTAGTGAACGTGGTAGTGAATGTGGTAGTGAATGTGGTAGTGAATGTGGAAGTGAACGTGATAGTGAATGTGATAGTGAATGTGATAGTGAATGCGGTAGTGAATGTGGTAGTGAATGTGGTAGTGAATGTGGTAGTGAACGTGGAAGTGAACGTGGAAGTGAACGTGGTAGTGAACGCGGTAGTGAACGCGGTAGTGAATGTGATAGTGAACGTGGTAGTGAACGTGATAGTTACTGTGGTAGTGAATGTGATAGTGAATGTGGTAGTGAATGTGGAAGTGAATGTGGTAGTGAACGTGATAGTGAACGTGGTAGTAAATGTGGTAGTGAATGCGATAGTGAATGCGGTAGTGAATGTGGTAGTGAATGTGGTAGTGAATGTGATAGTGAACGTGGTAGTGAATGCGGTAGTGAACGTGGTAGTGAACGTGATAGTGAACGTGGAAGTGAACGTGGTAGTGAACGTGATAGTGAACGTGGTAGTGAACGTGATAGTGAACGTGGTAGTGAACGCGGTAGTGAACGCGGTAGTGAACGTGGTAGTGAACGTGGAAGTGAATGTGATAGATAGTGAATGTGATAGATAGTGAACGTGGTAGTGAATGTGATAGTGAACGCGGTAGTGAACGCGGTAGTGAACGTGGAAGTGAACGCGGTAGTGAACGCGGTAGTGAACGCGGTAGTGAATGTGGTAGTGAATGTGATAGTGAATGCGGCAGTGAATGTGGTAGTGAATGTGGTAGTGAACGTAGTAGTGAACGTGGTAGTGAACGTGATAGTGAACGTGATAGTGAATGTGATAGTGAACGTGGTAGTGAATGTGATAGTGAATGTGATAGTGAACGTGATAGTGAACGTGGTAGTGAATGTGATAGTGAACGTGATAGTGAACGTGATAGTGAACGCGGTAGTGAACGCGGTAGTGAATGTGATAGTGAACGTGATAGTGAACGCGTTAGTGAACGCGGTAGTGAATGTGATAGTGAATGTGGAAGTGAACGTGGTAGTGAACGTGGTAGTGAATGTGATAGATAGTGAACGTGGTAGTGAACGTGGTAGTGAACGTGATAGATAGTGAATGTGATAGTGAATGTGGTACTGAATGTGATATTGAATGTGATAGTGAATGTGATAGATAGTGATTGTGATAGTGAACGTGGTAGTGAATGTCATAGTGAATGTGATAGTGAATGTGATAGTGAATGTTATAGATAGTGAATGTGGTAGTGAATGTGATAGTGAATGTGGAAGTGAACGTGGTAGTGAATGTGGTAGTGAACGTGGTAGTGAATGTGATTGATAGTGAACGTGATAATGAATGTGATAGATAGTGAATGTGGTAGTGAATGTGGTAGTGAACGTGGTAGTGAACGTGATAGTGAACGTGATAGTGAATGTGGTAGTGAATGTGGTAGTGAACGTGGTAGTGAATGTGGTAGTGAACGTGGTAGTGAACGTGATAGATAGTGAATGTGATTGTGAATGTGGTAGTGAATGTGATAGTGAATGTGATAGTGAACGTGATGGTGAATGTGATAGATAGTGAATGTGATCGTGAACGTGGTAGTGAACGTGGTAGTGAATGTGATAGTGAACGTGGTAGTGAACGTGGTAGTGAACGTGATAGTGAACGTGGTAGTGAATGTGGAAGTGAACGTGATAGTGAACGTGGTAGTGAATGTGGAAGTGAACGTGATAGTGAATGTGGTAGATAGTGAATGTGGAAGTGAACGTGATAGATAGTGAATGTGGTAGTGAACGTGGTAGTGAACGTGATAGTGAACGTGGTAGTGAACGTGATAGTGAACGTGGTAGTGAATGTGGAAGTGAACGTGATAGTGAATGTGTTAGATAGTGAATGTGGAAGTGAACGTGATAGATAGTGAATGTGGTAGTGAATGTGATAGATAGTGAACGTGGTAGTGAACGTGATAGTGAGCGTGATAGTGAATGTGGTAGTGAACGCGGTAGTGAACGTGGTAGTGAATGTGATAGATAGTGAATGTGATAGATAGTGAATTTGATAGGTAGTGAATGTGATAGGTAGTGAATGTGATAGTGAATGTGGTAGTGAATGTGATAGTGAACTTGGTAGTGAACGTGATAGTGAATGTGGTAGATAGTGAATGTGATAGATAGTGAATGTGATAGATAGTGAATGTAGTAGTGAATGTGGTAGATAGTGAATGTGGAAGTGAATGTGGTTGATAGTGAATGTGGAAGTGAACGTGGTAGATAGTGAATGCGGTAGTGAACGTGGTAGATAGTGAATGTGGAAGTGAACGTGATATATAATGAACATGGTAGTGAATGTGGTAGATAGTGAATGTGGAAGTGAATGTGGTAGATAGTGAATCTGGAAGTGAATGTGGTAGATAGTGAATGTGGAAGTGAACGTGATAGATAGTGAATGTGGTAGTGAATGTGGCAGATAGTGAACGTGGTAGTGAACGCGGTAGTGAACGTGATAGTGAATGTGGTAGTGAACGTGATAGATAGTGAATGTGATAGAAAGTGAATGTGATAATGAATGTGATAGTGAACGTGATAGTGAATGTGATAGTGAATATGATAGTGAATGTGGTAGTGAACGTGGTAGTGAATGTGGTAGTGAATGTGATAGTGAACGTGGTAGTGAATGTGATAGTGAACGTGGTAGTGAATGTGATAGTGAATGTGATAGTGAATGTGATAGATAGTGAATGTGATAGATAGTGAACGTGATAGTGAATGTGATAGGTAGTGAATGTGATAGGTAGTGAATGTGATAGTGAACGTGGTAGTGAACGTGGTAGTGAATGTGGTAGGTAGTGAATGTGATAGATAGTGAATGTGGTAGTGACTGTGGTAGTGAATGTGGTAGTGAATGTGATAGTGAATGTGGTAGTGAATGTGATAGTGAATGTGATAGTGAATGTATTGAGTTCTGTGCCCCCAGGCTGCTACCCCGCTCCGCCCGGTGGCTCCTGGCGAACAATCAGCACGACAAGGCGGAGAGTCTGGTGCGCAGAGCAGCGGAGATCAACGGCATGAGCCTTCCTGATGACCTCCTGAAGTCGGAGGTTCGGGCTGGGAACTTGCACACTGGAGCTCCGCACTCACTTCACTGCCGCTACTGTCACCAAATTGCGCAAACAATTATCGAACTGATTATGAAATCGAATCATTCCCAGGGGGATTAATTGCCACATCGTGCTGAATAAAACCGCACAAACGAGGAGGCAAAAACGAGAAATACGGAACCAAATTTCTAATTGAATTGTTCGGGGATGAATCATCGCAATGCCTACCCATGAGGATATTCTTCATGTTTGGTGTGCATGTTGAGCATGCATTCTCCGTTGAGCATGTACAATGCATTCACTCAAACTTTCAGTTCAACAGGTTGAATTCACTACAATTGAAATTCAACTCCCGGCGAAGCCCGCACTCGGATTACCAGCGGCCGAGGTGAGAAGCTGTGGTTTCAGGCCGGTCATGTCGCTTCTCTCCTCCTCCTCCCCCCCGTGCCACAGATGGTGAAGCAGAAACTGGCCGCGAGTCCTCAGCAGGCCCACTCCGTCCTGGACCTCTTTCGCACGCCGCGGCTGAGGAAACAGTCCCTCATTCTCTTCTACTCTTGGTGAGCGTCACTTGCGCAGAAGAGCAAAACAAGTTTAAACCAATTTGAGCACTTTACGGTGGTAAACTTGTCAAACAGAAAAACGTGAGTGCAGGCTGAACATAAAATGTTTTTGTGGATGTGCGTTGAACTTCTTTCGCACCGTATGTAGCCGACAAGATTAATTGGAGGTGTGTATTAATGCTAATACTTGTATGTGCCGGGGGTTTATACCTTGACAGTAAATCATAAATAAACACATCAATGTTCAAACCTTTCTCAGTCACAGCTGAGTTAAGGTCTCCCAACACCATGCCGGCCGTGAATGTTGTTTGACCATACTTCACCACGCTGGTTTAGCGCGGGTTGGTAAAGCGGGATGGCCCAGTCAACACCGATGTTAGCCGTGGCCATAAATCGATCTCTGTGTAGTGACGTGGAATGAGTCACTGGAGCGCATGTCGCTGGGAGATTGGTAGACAATAGAATTAGTGGTAACAGCCCGTTCTACCACCTGTGGGCAAGATTGGTAGACAATAGAATTAGTGGTAACAGCCCGTTCTACCACCTGTGGGCAAGATTGATAGACAATAGAATTAGTGGTAACTGCTCGTTCTACCACCTGTGGGCAAGATTGGTAGACAATAGAATTAGTGGTAACAGCCCGTTCTACCACCTGTGGGCAAGATTGGTAGACAATAGAATTAGTGGTAACCGCCCATTCTACCACCTGTGGGCAAGATTGGTAGACAATAGAATTAGTGGTAACAGCCCGTTCTACCACCTGTGGGCAAGATTGATAGACAATAGAATTAGTGGTAACCGCCCATTCTACCACCTGTGGGCAAGATTGGTAGACAATAGAATTAGTAGTAACAGCCCGTTCTACCACCTGTGGGCAAGATTGGTAGACAATAGAATTAGTGGTAACAGCCCGTTCTACCACCTGTGGGCAAGATTGGTAGACAATAGAATTAGTGGTAACCGCCCATTCTACCACCCGTGGGCAAGATTGATAGACAATAGAATTAGTGGTAACAGCCCGTTCTACCACCCGTGGGCAAGATTGATAGACAATAGAATTAGTGGTAACAGCCCGGTCTACCACCTGTGGGCAAGATTGATAGACAATAGAATTAGTGGTAACAGCCCATTCTACCACCCGTGGGCAAGATTGGTAGACAATAGAATTAGTGGTAACAGCTCGGTCTACTGGTAACAGCTCTAGATTTGAAGCTTTCGTGACTGCTAGGATCCATACTCTTTGGTTCTATTGGGTAAAGTCACGTAGGTGAAAATAAAATAACAAAAAATCACGACGTTTCGGCCACAACACAAGCGGCCTTCATCAGGTGAAGGGACGAGACTGTCTGGAGGACAGCGCTGGAGTGGAAGAAGCCACGCTTAGATCACGACCTATTTCAATGCTAAATTCGATGCTAATTCCTTTGTCAAGGGGTACCTCTAAGGATGTGTATACTTTAACTTAGCTATTTCAATGAGCCATTTCAATGCTAAATTATATGCTAATTCCTTTGTCAAGGCGCTTGGTCTTTTTCTTCTCACACAACTTAAAAGTCGTGATCTAAGCGTGGTCGGGCGTGGTGCTGGCCACCCACCCTCTCGTGTACCGTTCCGGCCTTCATAGGTGCTCGCTAACAGCACTTGCCCCTACAGTCTGTTAAGGCTATATGGGGGATCTTTGTCTTTATCATCATGAGTGGCTGAATGAGTTGCCACTCAAATGGCGAGTGAGAGGAGACGTCGCTTGCCGCAGGTTCGCGATCACTCTGGTCTACTACGGCCTCTCGCTGGGAATCTCCGACCTGGGGCTGGACATCTTCCTCACGCAGTTCATCTTTGGCGCCGTGGAGATCCCCGCGCGCTTCCTCTTGCTCGCCACGCTCCCCAAGAGCCGCAGGATGTCCCAGGTCGGCTTCCTGGCCTTCGGGGGCCTCTTCTGCATCCTCACCGTGACCGTGCCAAGCGGTACGAGCCTCGCGATCGTCGTCGTCGTCATCATCATCCGGGTGCCTCTCCAAGCCGTCACCATCCTCCACGGTTGTCCGATAGAGCTCCATGGAGTTGGGGAGGACTGAAGGGGGCTCACTCTCCCCGCTAAAGGCCGAGCTCCCCCTGTTAAATTCCTTCGGCACGACTGGGCAATGGGCGTCGCACCGCCACAGCCTTTCCTCGACGACGCAAGGCTGTTAATTCTAGATTTTAAACTTTCGTGGCTGCAAGAATTCATACTCTTTGGTTTTATTCGGTAAAGTCACGTAGGTAAAAACAGATTTAAAAGAAAAGAAAAAAATAAAACACGACGTTTCGGCCACAACACAAGTGGCCTTCTTCAGGTGAAGGCACAGAACTGTCGGGACGACAGCACTTCAATGAACGCCGCTAAGATTCGCAGCGTCTTTTAAGCTCGGTGGGAGGAGCAGAGCGCCTTGACAAAGGAGTTTACATATCAAACAGGAGAATTTAGCAGGCTGTGGCAGCTAGAGCAGAACACACGGCAGACAAGCAGAGATCGCATTGCCGCTCATTCTCTTTAGTGGCCAACGTTTGTTTGAAGCTTGTTTAAAATTCGGACTCGGAATCTTTATTTACTGGAGGAATCCCAAGAGCTATAAAGTTCTAATTTCACAGATGTCCAGTTACACTGTGTCATGCCTGTATCCCCCCCCCCCCTTTCCCGGACGTGCACGCCAGTTGCGATGCAGTAAGTCTCGTGATGCTGCACGCAAGCTACCCCGAGAGTTACAAACTTGCCCCAGACGAACCCGAGCTCAGACTGTCCGACCCTTTTGTGTCTTCGCTCGACGGAGCAGACCGTAGACCGTATCACCCCCCCACCGCGTGTCTCTCCACTCACACAGACATGTCCACCGTTCGGACGGGGCTCGCGATGCTCGGGAAGTTCGGCGTCACTGCTTCCTTCGTCGTCATCTTCATCTACACGGCAGAGATCTATCCGACGGTCATCAGGTTTGTTACTGGACATTGGGGAGGGGGGGGGGGGGAGGTTGGGGGAGCAGTGGCGCTCGCCTGATATGCAAGGTGGTCGTGGGTTCGAGCCTGACCCTGATGTCTGTATGTTTGGAGTTTAACACGTAGGAGGCTTTCACGACCAATATCATCCATAATAGAGGTTTTTTTTCGTTTAGATCGCGTAAATATCTAAATGTGTCGTTAAAACCCGCCACCACCCGACACAGCCAACTAATAAGGTTTGTCACGTAAACAGAACGTGGCCAATTCGTCACTGGTACAGCACTACACCGGTGTGTTGGAGAGCCAAGCCACAACATTTACAAACTGAGTACGACGTTTCGCCAGTAATTACAACTACCTTCATCAGGCGACAGCCAGATTTGTGGAGAAGTCCTCCTGTTTCGTTCCTTATATAGAGGCGCAGATGTGTTGACCACCCTTCTGCGGTCTTGCACAAAGTGAGTGGGGGGGGGGATTACTGAGGCAACGTACATAACGCGTGTGCATTATGAGAGCCCTTTAAACTTGTCCTTCCTGTCTTTTGTGTTTATTAAAATAGCCTTACCGACGGTAATCCCTATTAAAGTACGCTGCCCTTTGCAGGCATGCATTTCAATAATGTATTATTTGATGATTCGCTTCCATGCAGCACTAAGGCGTACCGTGCGAAATCTGACTCGGATGTTTTGTTTTTCCAAACATCTGGCTAGTTTATCAGTTACTCCCGCAATGTGCGGTATTTTGATCGTTTTAATTACTTGGGCAGTTTCAATGCTCGTATTATTTGATTTGGTTTTGGCTTTCAATGCCCTGTTGATTTGTGCATCATTGTAACCGTTCATTTGCAGCGCTTCTTTAACATTTTGAATTTCACTTCACAGACTGTCACCATCTAATGGTGGTGACAGTCTTGATACTACATTCAGATAGGCGTCTGACACCTATCTGAATGCATCGAGCTGAGAAAGGGAGGTCTCACCCCTGATTGAATTGGGGAGGAGAGGCATGAAGAGGATGGGGCAATATAGCCTGGAGAGCAGTGCGGTAGATTTTTACGAAGAAAAATAATATCCTGCATGCAAGAGCTGTTGCTGAGGGGTTAGGGCATGAGGTGGTCTCGTTGAACTGTGAGGAGTAGCTGTAGCTGAGGGGGTAGCACACGAGGTGGTCTTGTTTAACACAAACGACGGTGGCTTTGAGTGGCCACACTCAAGACTACAGGGTACAGTATATTATTATTACTTTTTCTGCACCACCTCGGCCACGTCATCTCCCCCCCGCGGCTGTTGCCTCTCTGTGTTTTGGTTTGCCGCACCCCAAATCCACGAATCATGGTAAACCCCCCTCCCTCTGTTGTATATGCCGGGTCTTGAAATTTTAATGAAAATAATAAAAATTAAATGAAATTTTACAAAATGCGTAATTATCCGAATTTATGTTAATTGATGTAATTATGCGCACACATTATGCTAATTAGGGAGGCGTCATCGTGTTAAGTTATGCAATTGCATGCGATTATGCTGATGCACACGGTTATGATAATTAAGCCCTGCCTCGTTGTCGAGGGTAGTATCAATCGGGATCGTACAATTTATTGTATGAAGTTGTGCAGGTGTGCTGTAAGTATGCCAGATTAAGCTTGGCTTCGTTGTCTCGGTTCGTATTATCAATCGGTATAACACAATTATTCTCGCTTTAACATTTACTGATTATGTCTTAGTGTTTTTATATCAGGTCTCCAAATTCAAATCTCACCGCAAGATACAGTTCTTATAATTAAGATTATTATGCATGAACTTAGGAAGGCACCACGCAGACACTTCTGTGTTAAGCAATTTTAATTTCTAAACAAAAACATAACACTCTAATATGCGAACTCTTATGCTTGGAATTGTCAACACAGTACTCCTGGAGATGTTCTCCTCATTGATCCATACATTTAACCCTCAATTATCACGTTTGTTAACTGGGTAGCAGAACAATCGATTAATTCCTCAGAGTAGCGCGAGCATATATGGCGATAGGAAAAGGTCCTTAAACATTCATGCAACGATATTCATACGAAGGCAATAAAGAAACATGTCCCGAAGGCAAACGTATACGGCAGTGAATTCATGGGCAGGATTACGTAATTAACGAAATGTTTGGAACAATGGTGTGCGGCAGTATGCCTGCTTCAGCAAATACTTATCAATTGGCTAAGGATTCATATTCTTGGTTCTTTCGGTAAAGTCACGTAGAAGGGAAACAATAAAATAATAAAAATATAAAACAATAAAATTCTCACGACGTTTCGACTGCAACACAAGCAATCATCAGGTGTGAAAACCACAGCAAGAAAATTTGTGGTTTTCACACCTGATGATGATTGCTTGTGTTGCAGTCGAAACGTCGTGAGAATTGTCTTGTTTTATATTTTTATTATTTTATTGTTTCCCTTCTACGTGACTTTACCGAAAGAACCAAGAATGTGTATCCCTGCAGTCACGAAAGCTTTAAATCAAAAATTAGCAAAGGCTTCAATCAATTCGCGGGCAGATTCTGTGATCAAAAGAAAGATTTCAACACAATATTTTCCCTGTGAGTTTGTAGATTCGTAACTTAGGTTTCTAAACGTTTAGTTTTCATCGATGAATTCATTGATGATATTTATGCAAATCAAAAGAAACATAACTACTAAAATACTTCTAAACGACCGTTTCCCCGTAACCCAATGGCAGCCGTGTTCTTTGTTATCAGTTGATACTTGACGCACTTATCACGAGTCTTCTTCTTCTTATTAGTCCGGGTATGTGTTGAGTGTGGATGTGTCCTTGATCAATTCTTGGCGTCAAGCAGACGCCAGGTGATGCGTTGTCATGTGTGGCGGTGTGCGGATCATACGGATAGCTGGGTTCTCCTTCCTTCTCACGGGCGGCCGGAGTTCGGTCCACAGCCGGTTGGAAGAGTCGTCACGACGCTCGCCGTCGGTGCGCGATGATCCCGTCGTCAGGTGGCGCCCGCAGCTCGTCCGCTGGCAGCTGACACCCTTGCTCGGCGGCGCTGGCGACGCCGCGGCGTGCTCGCTCCTGCTCCGTCTCTCTGGCGGTGTCGATTGCGCGTGCAGCTGGTTCTCTGCTGGCTTGGTCGATGCTTGGCGCTTTCCGCCCTTTCTCGACGTTGATTGCTTGACGTTGCCGAACTCTTCGGTGACTGATCGGCCCTCGGAGGCTGGCCGTTATCTTCTGTGGTTGGTCATCTTCGGTAGTCGATCGCCGTCTTCTGCCGCTGGTAGCTGTGATGGCTTGCAGAGCCGATGGTAGCAGTTGGTCGTACGATGGTCGTAGTTGCTGGTGGGAGCTGGCACTCGATGTCGAATAAACTTTTTGAACTCACACTTGACGACACATCGCTACTCGGCAAAGCCTCGCCATCCTTGGTCAAACGCAGGGCCCACCCCGGAGCTTGCCGCTCGCCGCCCTCTTCTGTCACTCGCAGAACTGTCCCTTGCAGAGCTGATCTGTGTGCGTCGTGTCGCTGGTTTTATGTGGAATTTCACCCACCTCGGCTCGCCTACTCACCATGGACCGGAACTTCCTTTGATTTCGCTCTGTGTTGTGGGGGGGGGGGGGGGGGGGAGTTGTACGTGTGTCCGTGTCCGTGTGTTCTGATTTATTAAGCCACCTGTTAAGTCTCACCCTGGCCTGATTCCTGTCCCCCTCCTCAAGCCCATCTTTTCATCCGTGGAACCATCAGGTGCCCCACATTGCTACTCCCCGGTTGATTATGGTCACAAGAATTCTCTGGCGGGGTTTTTTCTTTCCCTCTTCCCTCTTGGTGTGACATTCTTTTGCCTCTCACAAAGGGGTGTGTTGAGGCTTTTGAAGTTAAACATTTTATTTTACCTCCTATAGCTCGATACCGTACCACTATGTAGTTATGATTCTGTACGTGACTCAAGGTATGTTTGTGGCAGTGTTTACAGTGCTTCCATCGTGGTGTTTGATTTTTAAGAGGAGATGCCCTCTGCCTGCGTATGCAAATTTCTATCACGTGCTGCTGGAAGACAAAGGCGGTTGGGAGACGCTCTTTCTCTATGGAATACATTTATCTTGGTCACGTGATCGACCCACCACGCCTCATCTCCCCTGGATGGCCCTCGGTTTAATACTTCATAATTATTATTTGGTTTATGTTTCCCAATATTCGTGAATAACTTTAGCATTAAACTCGTATATGAGTGTTGATAACCCACTACTGTAGATTGTAGCCTTTGTTTTAAATCGGAATGAGTGTGTTGGTCTATGATGCTCACTTATTCTTGTTGCTGAGTTTTTGGACTTTCTGTTTATTAAAATAACCAAAAAACGTGTCTGTCCGGTCTTCGCCGCCCTAGAAGCTGGCGAGGCTTTGAAGCCGTGTCGGGATTTTTCCAGACTTTGCTTCGTTCATCATTTCGTTTCGTTTTTTTTTAATGCTTTGCTTTATGTACCCCCCCCCCTTTTAGATGAAAGATTTCACAAAATATTTCCCGTTCTGCTCTCCTTACCCCTTCCCTCTCTCTCTACCCCCCCTCTTTCTACCCCCTCTCTGCCCCCCCTCTCTGCCCCCCCCCCCTCTCTCTCTACCCCCTCACTCCCTCCTTCCCCCCTCCTCCTTCCTCTCCCTCCCTCCTCCCCTCACTCCCTCCTGTCACCTGCCCCCGCCGGCGCCTCGTGCGTGTGCGTGCAGGCAGATGGGCGTGGGGATGTCGTCGATGTTCGCGCGCTTCGGCGGGGTGCTCGCTCCCCTCGTGAGCCTCGCCTTCCCCCCGGGCCACGCGGGCCCGATGGCGATGTTCGGGGCGATGTCCCTGCTCGCCGCCGCACTCACGCTCGCGCTGCCCGAGACGGCCAATCGCCCGCTGCCCGACTCCATCGCCGACACCGAGAGGGACGACGGAGAGGAGGAGGAGGAGGAGCAGCGGCAGAGCGAGGGGTGAGGTGGCCCTGAGCGAGGGGAGGGGAGCCGAGGGGGGCTCGAGGCAGATTTGGACGATGAGAGTTTGGGAGGGGGGGGGGGGGGCACGGCCCCGAGGCAACGACGTAAACATTTAATTAAGAAAATAAAATCTTGTACGTGGAGGAGTTGTGAAACTAAGCTTATTTTTTCTTCGTGTTTTACCCCTTTTATCAAGTAAGGCCCACTGAGCACAAACGATTGTTCAACAAAGTGGCTCATCATCATCGTGTGGACATTTATAGCAGCCGAATACTCGAAACGCGCGATGTTGATTCCAAATGTGGAGGGGAAAAAACGGAGGGCCCGGAGGAAAATCCACGGGACCACGGGGAGAGAGACAAACTCCAAATATACAGCAGCACGCGTCAGGGTCGGGATCGGGATCGAACCCACGACCTCCTGTATACAGGGCGAGGTCGTTAACATCTCATAGCCACCGTGGCGCTTGTAGCCGAGGGGACAGGACACGGGGCAGTTATACTTTGACACGGGAATGAGTAAACGTAACGTCGTGGACAGCAGGTCCGCGACACAACTGAAGGTTTGGGTTTATATTGGAGGGATATGGCACATCAAGTACCTCTTGGGGCAACCCCTGAAGATGGAGCGGGATCAGAATAACGCAACGCAGAGGAGGGCGAGTGGAGGTTTTTGGAAAATAATTGCAGTGGATTGACAACGAAAAGCACTGCGCCTGAGAAAGATTAAATCGGTGTACATTGCATGGATAATAAATACGGACACTGACACGGACAATCAGAAATCAGCATTGTGTGTAAATCATCAGGGAGAGACGCACGCTTAGAATTACACCGAGAGACAGAGGGACGTTTCTGTGCCTCTTCTGAATCCCAGGTTCCCCTAGAAAATTCTAGATTTGAAGCTTTCGTGACTGCAAGGATCCATACTCTTTGGTTCTGTTCGGTAAAGTCACGTAAAAGTATAAAACTTTTACGTGTCAAGGCACCTTAATTCCTCTCACACAAGTTTAAAGGTCGCAGTCTGAGCTTGGCTGTGTTCACTCCAGCGCTGTCCTCGAGACAGTCTGGTCCCTTCACCTGATGAAGGCCACTTGTGTTGTGGCCGAAACGTCGTGAATTTTTTTTTATACTTTTACGTGACTTTACCGAATAGAACCAAAGAGTATGGATCCCCTAGAAAACGTTTACTTTTATTCATCAATGGGCCGGCGGCACCTGGTTGAATAAAAAAAGGATAAGACTATGTATTGTTAATACGCGTGCACATGGCCTAGAGAATGGGTGTGTGTGTGTCCCAGTAGGGGAAGAAGAGTGTGATATGTGTGTGTGAGCAGGTGAAAGCACGTGACCTGTACAGAGAGGACACCCAAGACGTGTCTCCTGACGGCCGATCAGTGACCTTCAGGGACAAGACGTTCTGTCTGCTGTCTGGCCACTCGTGGAAGATGCGTTGTGTCCAAGACCGGCCTTAAATGTAAACGATCGTGAAGTTGAACAATATGAAGTGTAACTTGTGCACGTGGCATTGAGAAGATTTCAGAGGCGCCATATTTCCCCCCCCCCCCCCCAAAAAAAACCAATTAGTTCGAATCGATGTTTCGTCACTGTTATGCCATGCCACGTGGGTTTCACTGGGGGTGTAAAGATGCATCAATGTAGTTATGTCTACGTCTCGGCTCACGATGCATGCATCTAATTTCGTATCATGGGACCTTTTTCGCCAGTGTCAATGTACATCTGAACACACAATGTACATCTGAACACACAATGTACATCTGTTTTATCGCCAGAAAGGGTCAAACCTATTCCTATCTAATTTCGTGTACAGTATAACCATTTACGTTGTTTTTATTATTCGTGGGTTAATGTGACCCCTGTAGCCGCTAGAGGACGCTATATTCACCACAGTTTAATGGTGACCCTGAATCACGACGGTTCTTCGAATTGCCACAAAGTTCAGGGATAGGGAGCGGTTCGTTTTCATGCAACATCAGCCTCACGAACCTCGCTGGGCCACAGCAATACAGAGACGCAGCAATGCAATCTGTGGTTCTGATTTGTGACAATTCATGGACTCGCAGGGAGGGATGAATTATTACAAATCCACCTCTGTGCTGCGGTAAATTCCGTTAAGTGAGCGCCTCTGTTCTGCGGTAAGTTCCATTAGCGGGCACCTATGAAGGCCCCGCACGCCACACGTGGGGGTTGGTGGCCAGCACCACGCCCGGTCGCCTTTTGTTTGCATACTGGCGATGTTTACATGTTGCACCAGTTACTCATTTGAGGCCGAGTCGACCCAGGGGAGGCTCAGGACCGGTTCAGATGATTGTTACGAATGTGGGGGGGGGGGGGGGGGGGATCGAACTCGAGTGGCCGGATTTGTAGCGCGGCGTGCTAACCACAACCACCACTCCCCATACACAACGTCCAGCTTACAAACGCCCAAAGATTACTGTTTGCAAGCCGGATCGTGCCGTCACTTCAAAACACTTCCCGTTTTCACTCTTCCCCAAATCAGCGTTTACCCATGATGTCTTTTCCAGCAATCTTGTACATGGACAGCGCTTTTGTCAATCCACTGCTGGATGAGGGTTGGGATCTTGTCTCTTCTAATAAAACGCAACATCTGCAGACTTTGCAGCTACAAGCTTGTGTTCATTTACACAGGCGTACAAAAATACTCTCCGACTCTTGCAGTGCCAATAATAGCAAGTTGTTTGCCCGAATTTTGCTGGCAAGTCAAAAATTAAACTTTTAGAAGTGCGCCGCATGGAACACACCCCGCATCACCACACTGACCTCCCATACAATGAGAGTTTCGGCATCCGTTCTCGGTAGCCCATGTAGATCTCAGGGTTACCTTGCGACTTGGTCGACCCGTTAAAGCTCTTTGGGTTGCCCCTCTCACAAGCATTGGAGTGCCAGCAAAAGATCGTGAATCTGTTGAAGAAGCTCTACACAGACACAACCCGGTTGCGTTCGTGGAGACGGAGAGTTGTTCCGGGTGGTGCAGTATCCAAAGCGGCGGCAAGGCAACGCTGCACCGTTGCCCCGATCATGTCCCTTGCCCCTCTGGACTGAATACTGCAGGGCACGGTCCACAAAGGCCTGCCAGGAGTAACCCTGAGCAAAGAGGCGCTCACCATCCTGGACTATGCAGATGATGTTGCCTTGCTAAGCTGAAATGCTTGAAGTTTTTTTTTTTTACTCCTGGCCCTGGAGATCATGCATAGTGAAGCCCTCCCATTTGGTCTGGAAATAAACTGGGCTAAACAAAAAACACAGACCACTGCTGAGCAGCCGCACAACTTTCCTGAAGTGGAAATAGCGGACGATGTTGATTGAATTGGTAAAAGCTTTCACATCGCGACTGCACTATGCGACACACTGGAAGCATCGAGGCAGAAAGGCGAATCTCAATCGCACGCGAGACAGCTCGACAAGACACCTGGCGCTCCAATTTTACAACAGCAATAAAGATTCGGCAATACAACGCATACAATCCTCCCCGTACTACTGAGCCGTACAAGAGTAGACGTGGTCAATGACGGCGTCCCTGAGCAAGATGCTGGATGCCTTCGACCGGTGGTGCCCGCGAGCGACGGAAACTTCGCATCCACTTCGGTGAACGTCGCCAATACCGAGGTCCGTCTTCGCACGGGATGCCCGACGGTGCATGCAACGGCCAGAGCCAGAAGACTCGGGCTTTCGGGACACGTCCGGGCGGACGCATCAACAGATCACAACAGACGCCTGCGCGTGATTGTCGGGATTGGAGGCGCCCTCGGGGGAGACCACCACGGCCGACGTGGACACGCACGACCGAGGTTGGATCTTCGACACCACGGCCTTGGCTCGCATTCAGCGTGGCTGCTAGCGCGGGAGAGGATTGCCTGGTGGCGGATCGTGGGGACTGCTACGCCCCGAGGGGCATGCACATGATGATGATACCAAATCGTGACCGAGGATTGTGACAATTTATCGAGGTGGGTGGAAAGCACAGCCGTTTTGCCATTTAAACTTTGACGTTAACAGGGGTGTAAGAAGGGTTGCACAAAATAACTGGGACATCATAGGGGGAGAGAATGTTGAACTTCTTTCACACCATACGTAGCCAACCGTGCTCATCGGAAGTGCGGGGGAGGGACAACTTAAAACAAAAAGCAGTTCTAAATCAATTAGTTTTCAATCTCAATACCAGAAGAGGGAGGGAACTCCATGTAAATGCATCGTCTTCAGTGTCTTGTTGTGAGACTGACAAAAAAAACCTAACATTTGATGCCCTGGGAAAACTTTAAAGATTTCCCGGGACAACAACCCCAGAGGATGATCCTGGGAAAACCAGGTTCAACTAAAGAACGTTAAATTAATTGGCAGGCAAGGTCTCCGACACAGTGGTCACACACGCACGACACACCACGCACGCCAAACATCGTGTTTTGCCGTTGCGAAGGCAACGAGAAGCACCGAGCAGGCCGGCCTCGTAACTCCCGAGTTGCACTGCACCTGGCCACGCCACATCAAAAGACAAACACGGGGCCAACTCTGCTGCAGAGGCATCAAGAAAAGCACGATGACCCATTGTGTCTTGTCAAGCACAGCAGCAGTCGTGTGAAGGTGTTTCGCTTAACGTAGTAAAGCATGCGACGTTCACGCAACGCAAGCCAGAAACCCAGTTTGAATCCACCCTCGCATCAAGAGTCACCGGTGAAGATTTAGGTTACAAGTGCGACATATTTCAAAAATCCTTTATTCGCTTTGAAATCTTAAAAATTATTCACACCTCGCCATTGATTTCAAGATAACTCGGGATATTCCGACACTTTGAGAAACTTTTGAGAATATGAAATGAGGCCAATCACCAAATACGATGATCTAGCACACGTAACCTCATTCTCTCAATGCATGAACACCACCTACTGACCGGTGCGCAAGGAGCACAAATTCCACTTTCCATTTTTGGGAACAACGGCATAGATCTATCCTTACTTTTTTACAGACAAGTGCTGGGATGTATTTACGACTAAATAACCCCGAAGCACTTGTATGAGACTTCTGAGAATATTTCCATGGAAGCACAGGCAATATGTTTCATACTTTTACAATTATCACTATCCATGCTCTTTAATGTGTCAATGCTGCATATAGCATATGGCTGTATGTGCAATCTTTTAAAATGTAATATGCTTTGATTTGCAAACAAGATTGTGTATTTTCAACGGATTTGACATTGCGCTTTTCATTTTTTTAATATTCGGACATTTGATGAGGTTAATAAAACATGTGCAAGATTGTAAAAGGCTAACAACAAATATACCTTCGAAATCATGCACGTTCATTAGAACAGCACTTCATATTTTCATGAAAATGTCCCACAAATTAATAAAAAAATATTCCAAAGACAACAAACCCCTTTACACCAGAACCACACCCAATTCAGAATACAAAACTATCACAATCATCCAAGATCATGAAAATTAAACAAACCACACGAATTACTTTTTTTTTCGGTAAAGTCATGTATAAATAAGAAATAATAAAATAACATAATAGCGTACGACGTTATTATTTCTCATTTATACGTGACTTCACCGAAAAAAACCAAAGAGTAATTCCTGCAGTCACGAAAGCTTCGAATCAAGTCTAAACCACACGAAATCAGTGAAATGTATTTTGAACGATACTTTGGCAGACCAAAAACCCAACGGCAACGGAGAGCAGCTGCGATCGGCAAAATGGCGTCGAGATTAATCGCATCTTCTCAAGCCGATTCCAATGGCTCGGGGGCGGGGGGGGTGAGCGGCCGGCGTGCTGGGGGCAAGACCCTGAAATCTCCTGCGAGTGGCTCTGCTCACGATCGGGGCGAAGCCGGCGCACTCAGGCGAGCACGGCATAGGAGGCGTCCGTGGTGACGCCGCAGTTGTTGTCGCGCGTGGACATGAGCACGTAGCCGTCGTTGCCCCAGTACGTGGACCACGAGTTCTTGACGAGCCAATAGGGCTCCCCGTCCAGCGTGCCGTAGCCCACCCCCAGCACCGCGTGATTGAGGTCGTCCACCTTGCTATCTGCAGGCGCGGGAAGGGGGTGGGGGGGGGGGGGGAGGTGCAAGCAGGGGCAGAGGACACGCACACACACACACACGCGCTACGGCTTCCACGGCCACAGGGCAGCCGATGCGAGCAGCGCTGGGCTCCCGGCGCGGCTCCTTTCTTAGCTCGGCTCGTCGCGAGCCGTGCAGGAAACGTGGGCCCGGATACTCTCTCACGTCATTCCCCTCCCCGACTCACTCCCCCCGCCCACCTCCTCTCTGCCTCCCTTCCCTCTATGGCCAGAGGAAAGCGATCGGAAACATTTTGGAAACTTTGAAGACGGTTGAAGGTATGCTTGGGTGAAATAACGTTACACCAAGCAAAGAATAATGTTCCACAGAAGGAGGCACCATAGAGCTACCTCTGAGAACCCTTCAGTGGTAGGCACCAGCACCTTTCGCACCCACCCTGCTACACACTAATATTGAATGCATGACAGTCAAACTGACGATTTTAATTCTAAGGAGCTGGAATGTATTCAAGTTAAGTTAATAAAACATTTGGTGATTGGGGTTCAGACCTGAACCTCACTGCAATAGAGAACCCGATTTAATTACAGGTAGTTGAAACCCATGTTAAAATCACAACATCTGTGCAGTGCCAGCTGAGAGTTCTGACCTCTGAGCCACCTGGCTACCCCAAAATAATATAATTTCTTAAAACACACAAACCTATGCACGTATCGTGCAGGCTAAGGAATCGCCAGCAGTCGATGAATGGATTAATTTCTTCACCCTGGTCACCTGGTCACCCCACGCAGCGCAGACGTTTGAGTTGGAGCTCGCGGAACATTTTGCGGGGGTCACTCACGGCACTTTGGCTCGTAGTAGACGCCGTTGCTGTAGAAGGCGAAGGAGAGGTGGCCGGCGTCGATGCTCACGGACACAGGGCCGTTCTTGAAAATGGCCAAGCGGAGCGCCTGTTCGTCGCCCGACGTCACGTTCACGTAGTGGTCTATGCGCGCCACGCGCTCCGTCTCATTGTAGTGGCAGAAGCCGTTCTGCGTGGGGTGACAAGGCAGCAGCAGCAAGACTCTCAATGCCACCACTGTGACAGTGGATACACGGCAACTCGTAAGACATCTGAGATGCCACCAACTCAAACGAGTCAAAACTGAGCACCATGTTAGTTTAGGCAGTAGAAGGACGATGAAAACAACCACACCGATCTCACTGTCCAGATGGGAGCGATGAAATCGGCTGGTATGCAGGTTCTAGGTGGATTGTTACATCGCAGTTCCACATGGGATGGAGACAGCCTGAGGGGAACTTCAACCAGCGGTGGATGGACCATGGCAGATGACAATGATGAACTTGGCTGGGTCGAGCGGCAGAGCAAAACTGCGCACGCACCTGTCCCTTGTAGGGTCCATAGGTGTCCGCGGTGGAGATGCCGCCGTGCTTCATGATCCACTCGAAGGCGCGCCACTCCTCCCCACCGTCGCACGCATTGTTTCCGAACCCCCACGTGCAGTCGACGAGCATCTGCTGCGACAGGCGGATCAGCTGCCCTGTCTGCCACACGCGCACACACACACACGAGCTCACGCATGCACAGACAAGTAAACACACGCACACGCGTGCAAATATAAGTGCACGCACACACTCAAGTATACGGATGCATGCATGTGGGAGGTATGGAGACATACACCCAGGTTCACTGGTGTACCTATACACGCGCACGCACAAAAGCAGACCTAGATACGCATTTAGAGTCAGTAGGAAACACTCCGTATGCATGTAATTCGGCTGTTTTAATGTAAAATTTCCATTATGAATAGTACCGCAAAATAACAAAGTTCATTGTAAATGACACGGGCATGGGGGGGGCCTTCATCTGTGGGCTGGATTGATAAATATTTACTTAACACACTGTTCGTGAATTGTATTATTTCACTTCCATTACAGCATGAGGTTACAGCTCCAAACGCACACTATGCAGACCTGGGATCAATTACAAATGTAATTGTGTCATTCGTGATGATTTGCAATTGGTGTATCACTGTAATTTCAACTAACAATACTGCTGCAGGTATAATTAGAACTGACCCAAGTTCTGGTTGTGTCCATCGCTGTGTCCTGCTGTTTTTGCTAAAGGTGGGCCAATAGCACTGCCAAATACCAAAAACGCGCACGCACGCACGTCAGTCACTTCTGCCACTGGAATAGGCCTATGCATTGACAGACGTGAGCAGGTGCGCTAAAATTATCAACACAGTGTTGGTGCCAGGTTGAAAACATTCCACCCTCTAGGAACAGCGACGAATGAAGATGTTTGCAGCGATGGATAAATATCGTTTGCGGGGCCGTTTCAAAAGTGGTAGGCCTCAGGCGGCCGCTGGCCACACACGGACAGTTTCCCCACGCAGGTGCTAAGGGGACTGAATGGCCACTCTCCCGAAACGAACAGACGCTTGGCCTCCCAGACTCGCTGACCAGTCCCGCTGCATTCACCCAACAACGAGGTCAGAACACGCGCACTTTACGTAGGTAGCGAATCGAGCTGCCGCGCTGGTTTTCCTGCCATCGTCGATAATCTTTGGCTTTTGTTCGGAAATTCCTCAGCCCCCCACCCCCAGTAATTTAGGGTCACGCTTCGATGTTTTCTCATCATTGTTGCCTTCCCCTGTGTTCTCGTTTCTTTCTGTTCCATGTGGAACAATGTATCCAGTCAATTAGCCTAAGTGTCACTCAAGTGAATCATTTGGATACGTTGTAAATCATCTATTCTCAGGCTCATGTTGTTCCATGCGTATATTGCGAACACAAGAATCCGTTTTTAGAAGCGGGAGTTTGGGTGGAAGGTGCCGGCGGAATTAGGGTGGCACTGGTGACCCCACGAGACACCCCAAATGCCCTCTTCTTCCTCTAGGCTGAGCTAATAGGTCGTGAACCCAGACACTTTACCTTGGTGGTGGCCACCTGAGGTGGCATAACTTTAGTGGTTACAATTTCTTCACTTGGCCAAAAATAAGTGTATTATGTAACAACAATTTGAAATGAGTGGGGGTTAGCAAGTAATTCACTCTTATCAGCCGCATAAATAAATCGGTACGATTCTTGCTCCGGCCCATGGACTACGGGGTCTCGGTGATGTAAGACCGAAGCTCGTTGCTCCCAGCTCAGGCACTAGGGGATGGGAGGGTTTGCCTTGAGGAAGAGGGACCCCTCCAGTGTCCCAGTGGTGGCAAAACTCCAGCACGAGCCACAGCAAGCCTGATCCTTCACGGGGGTCACGGCCCCTGCGGGACAGAGAACAAATGCAAAACAAGTATGGATACAGAACACATATCGTGGACTGGAAAGCTTGAAACCAAGACATCACATGCATAGCAACACGCAGGCACACAGCACGCGCAGAACATAGAGAACACATGCCACACAGAGAACATGAATCAAGCGCAGGCACACAGCATGCGTCGCGCACACACCGATATTTATATATATATAGAACACGTATTTGGCACACACAGAGGAAACATCAAGCACAGAGAACACAGCTCATGCACAGGTGCACTGCGCAGGCAACACAGCACGTGCATCGCACACAGCACGTGCATCGTACACGCAGCGCACAGACACAGAGCACACATGTTTATTGAATTTCTTTCGCACCGTATGTAGCCAACCGTGCTAATCGGAGGTGTGCATAGAGAATGCAAATCACGCATCAGCAGGCAGTGCACGTGGGCGCCGAGCAAGACGCAGAGCTGCGACGAGGGCGCGAACGCTCGGCGTGTAAGCGGCGCGCGCACCGTAGAGCCTCCAGTCCATGGTGTCCGGCGGTGTCACATTCACGTAGTTCTGCGCCGGGAAGGGGCGGCCGTTGTTGGGGGTCGTGGGTTTCTGGCGACCCCGCATCAGCGCCAGTTCCTCTACCGAGCGGTCAGCCAGGTGGTTCAGCGCCAGCGTGTACGTGCGGTTGGCACGATTCGCCGAGTGGACGAACCTGAAGCATAACCGCGAGCGTGAGCCGAAGGCGTCTAACAAAGTGCCGCTGATTCAGAAAGCTCGACTCACGGTCGGAACATTGTGAGCGGGGCATGGTGGCACACACCTGCGACCCAGCGATTTGGAGGGAAGTTTTTATGGATCGCGGAAAGATATGCCAAATTCCAAAGATCTGCTGGGTTACGAGGTCGCGAATAGACGACTTCAGGCATTTACTTCAATGAAATGCATTATATATAACAACACAAGTAATGTAACAACACAAGTACATCTTGCGTCCACCACCACAGCACTTGCCTGTGCAGAGACAAAATCACGAAAATGTATTTAGACTGGAGGAATCCGATGAAGCTCTTTTTCACACAAGTCCAGTAGGGGTGGGTCAGCAAGTTACAGCAGGGTAGCCAAACCGGAGATTGTGGACAAAGTTGGTCTTCCTGCGCTCGTGCTCGTGGCTGCCCGGTGGGTACTCCCGCCCGTGCTTGCTCGTGAAGTGTTCGAAGAGGCGCTGGTGGGTGTCGTCCACGGCGCTCGGTTCGCTGGGCACGTACTGCGCCATGGGATTTGCGAGCAGCGAGTGCTCGGCCCCAGGGCCTGGGAACCCGACGCACTTGGTGCCTGCGTCCACGGGGACGAGGAGGAGAGAGGACGGAGCTACATCAGCTGATCGCTCACGCTGCGCTGTCAGCGAGCGCTTGTTCCCAAGTGTGGTCTTCATGGGTTGAAGAGCAAGAAGTCAAAAATACCTGGCACCACCACATTTGATGGTGAAATCAAAGCTCATCGAGTTGTGGCATATACATCGTGCATTTGGTCTCTGCGATACTTAACAATCTCACTTCTGATGGCAAAATTTTACCCGGCTGCTCCACCGAGTCTGACCAACGGTGCGCCTCAGCTCAGATAACATCATCAATGCATGAATGAGGTTGCCTAAATAAAAAAAGAAAATCATGATTTTTTTAATATAAAAGTTGTATCTTGGGTTTGGGTGAAGACTGTGGGATTAGTGATATTACAGCAGCATTGCCACATCTGACGTACGGAACACCGGGACGTTTAATGGGCCAGCAGTGGCCGTCACCTTTGGGAAGCTGGAAGACGGCAGGGTCCACCTTGTGACTGATGGTGTGGTAGTCCACGTTGTACTTGTCAACGTGGGAGCCCAGCAGGGTGTTGAAGCCGCGCATCTCGTACCGCACGGGCTCGGGCTCCCCGGAGGCGGTGGTGCCCACCCACAGCGTGTACGTCGCCTTCTTCTTCCCCTGGTACGTCACGTTTCTCCACACCGTGCAGTGCCGGCCGCGGAGCAACTCCGAGCCGGCCGGCTGTTTGCGACGAGACACAAGAGAGCCGCGTCCCACACATGGGTGCCGTGATTTAGGAGGCAAGGATTTTGTGGATCACGCGGAGTTCGAAGCGGCGCGGAACTCCCAAGCACACGCTGGACTGAGCGGTGGCTAAAAGATGTCAAGACAGTTAAATTGATACTTGAATCATCTGTGTGTAAATAAAGAGTTATTGTGTCAACAGGTGACACTCAAGGGAGAGTATACGCTCGAGAGTGCATCCACCAGGCAGATGTAGCGATGAAATCGCCTCGTGCAGAAACGCTGGATGAAATCCTGCACTGCAAGACCATGAAGGATGACGATGGTTTAAGGAGGCGTTCAAACCAGCAGTGGATTGATCATGGCTGATGATGATGGCGATAATGGTGACGCTAATGATATCAACAAGTTGGAAGACGCACCTGGAAGCCAGTGAGATCTGGAATGACGGCCTGGGTGGCTACAGGACTGGCGCTGGTGCCATTGATATGGAAGCATTTCTTCACATTCACTACATCCTCCGTGGTCTCAGGACTGATCTTGTATGCGATGCCAAACTCCTTCTCCGAGGCGTGCTGGTACGTGAGCACCTGACCTACAGAACCAAGGTCACACCGACGGATATAGAGAAACCTCGGCAAGAGAAGACTTGAGATGAGATGATGAAACAGGTGAGGTTCTGCCTGTAGTTTGTGATCTTGCTCCATACCAAAGTATTCAAACCAGGTCTGTACCATCACGATATCCAACTCTGCTCTTTGTGATGTTAATAAGCAACCCAGCTCCATACGGTTTTAATTTTCAAGCCTGCTCCATACAGTGGATGTATTCGACCCTGCCCTGTACTGCCAAAGTGCTCCGTACCACCATAGTAATCGATCCTGCTGACTTTGCCAGTCAAGTTGAACCAGGCTTTGAACGGCTCCTCGATCTCAGCGTAGGGCAGCAGCAGCACTCCTGTGAGGACAATTGCACACACATGCATAAGCACAAAGGACAAGGATTCCCCTATGTAGCCTGTATAAACTTTTGGGGGAAAGTGCTGTTAGCGAGCACATATAACGGCTGGCACACGCACGAGGGGTTGGTAAGGCGACCATAAAGTCCAGCCAGCTTTGACGCTCCAGTGCTGATGTTTACACACTGCACCAGGTACTTATTTAAGGCTAATTCGACCTAGAGACTCAGAGCCGGTTCAGCCAATCACCACCGATGCGGCAATACCTCGGGTCACCGAGTGTGTAGCACAATACGCTAATGAGTGCCACTGCTCCCTACCAGAAGGTCGAGCGCACACAGACAGACAACACATGCCGCCCTCATGAGTCCCACGCCACACACAGCCATTTGTGAGGACACCTCATGTCAGCTCCGATTAGCGCGGTTGGCTGGGTACTGTGCGAAAAAAAGTTTAACATATGTACAGCCACTCACGGGCGGCACTTACCCGAGATGTGGTAGACATCTCCAAACTTCGGTGGATCCACCACCGAGTCCACCGAGGGCCTCGCCTCTGCCGAAGCTGCAGACAGCACACAGTAGGAACATCCGTTTCTGGAAGGTGATGCGTATATGCAGACTGGGCCATGAGAGAATTACACAATCGTCTGCGAACGTGTGCTAAAAACTGAGGGGCTAGGGTTAATTTGGCATGTTACAACAGTCTGACGGAAACGCACGCAGTAAAACACCCCTCGACTGCGACAATTAGCGAGATACTCCTGAAACCGTATTCAAACTCTGTGATACTTTACTGAGTCGATAAATGCTCTTATTATTATTTTATAAATAGGCCAAGAATACGCATTTCCTTGCCAAGATCCGCTGTCCGTTTTGAGTAAGCTCCTTGGGCTGTAAGGGATAGGGTGGAAAGGTCAGGTCTCAGGTCCTCCAGTAAAGCAGGCATTAAACACAAATTATCTAGTCATACTGTGGTGGCAGTGATACACAAACACAATAACAAATAAAATGTGCCATTGTACAAGACTGCCAAATGTATACTGATTTCCAGTATTAACACAATCGGATATGACTCACCACAAAGGTTCAGTGATTTGCAACCGAACTGTAAAGCAGACACAAGGGAGTTGCAGTGTTTAACATGGGACATTTCAGAATATTTGGAGAAAAGTAACTGCCACACAACTGCAGTTACCAGTTCAAGTCAAATCTAAGTTAAACCGAAGGGAAAGTATCCAAAGTCTAAAGCGGGGAGCTTTTGGATGGGGGTGTTAGCAGCTGCTTTTCAGTCGAGTTATGTTGAAACTTTGATATTGGTCCATCCACACATTGTCTTCACATTTCTTTTGCACTTTTCGTATTGCCGAAATATATGCAGAGCAACAACTTCAATGTAACATTCTTTTTCACTGTACTCCTATCACTGTGCCCACATCTCCCTTTCACGTCCCCATGTTCTTGGGTAACGTGCGACTGACGAACGATGTCGTGGCATCACGTGCGGATAGATCATATCGAAGGGTAAACAATCTCTGTACAATTTTATTTTGTATTCCTTGTGAAGTGACACATGCCTGCAATGCTGCACAGGGAGACAGAGCTGGGGAATCAGAGAGATTCGTGCATTTGGAACAGCCACCTGCAAGGGCTCAGAGTGACCAAGAGGTAAAACTGCAAAGTAAACTCCGAACCCATCTATATTACGAACCTCCCATGTGTGTGGGTCTCTTCTCTGGGGTTTTTTTTTAGTTTCCTTCCCAATCACAAAGCATACGATTGGAAAAACATGAACGGACTGAATCCATCCGTGTGGGGCTCAGTGCCTTATGCAACTCGGTTGTCTCCCCCATGAAGCCACTCATTCATGGAATTGGCAAAACATCCCAAAGCAAGAGTCCTGAAAAAGAGTCCTGAGGCTTTCATAGAAAAATAAAACCCCCATTAAGATATATTCAATGTATACAGTTGTCATGAAATACAATTTTACCTGTTTAACCAGCACAGCTTAGGAAAGTATGATATATGGAGATTAAATCAAATACGAGTGTTATACCAGCTTTCAAAGACACACTTGTGCCCATCTGAAACGCAGATCGGACAGATTCATGTTTGTAGATTCCAAGCGGTCCGGTTCAGTACAGTACCTGCCACTCGCGAGGAATGACAAGGAAAAGTCAAGTGGGAAGTGACTAGTTTCACATCGACTATCACAAGTAAACACGGCATCCACACACCCACTGCCTGCAGTTACAATTTGGCGTTTTTGCTTGGATCTTTAAAAGGCTGTAATTTGCAATCACGCCACCGCTGGTGCAGCGGTCTCCACCCTAAAAGGAAATACGTCGACAGAATTGGGAATACTGTACCCACAATTTACGCCCACCACACTCGGCCTGTCGATCGAATGGTTACTGTGCAGTAGAGCATACGAGTTTGGGGAAATGGACTTCACATCACAAAAACCGTAAACTGTATATAGTGGCATAGTGCAGGACACCACCTTGTCACCAACGCCGAGGGCAGTTGCGTCACCTAACTTGTCCCAACTTGTGGCAAACGTGTGAATAACCACTCTCTGGGACATTCTTGCCACTATTAAAAGTAGGTCCCATTTTACGGCTGCTCACCCCGAGCTATAGACGCTCTTGACAGGTGCATTGTCTTTGTACTGTTCGCGTTTCAGCGTTCTCTGGTCTGACACTGGTGAGACGATGCCCTAAAGAAGGCTGTCTCTCTCTGGTACAGACACAATCAGGTTAAAAACAATGCATAGATCATCAGAGCATGTTCTTGGTCCTTTCGGTAAAGTCACGTAGAAGGGAAACAACATTATAAAAAAATAAACCAATAAAAATTTATATTTTTTTATTATTTTATTGTTTCCCTTCTACATGGTGACTTTACCGAAAGAACCAAGAATATGAATCCCTGCAGTCACGAAAGCTTTAAATCATCAGGGCATGTTTGTTTGCAGGTTCACCACAAGTACGTGTGGTTAAATGCGAACTTGATGCCTTGCAAAAGGTTTATATGTGGTGTTTAAACATCTTAACGCAACTGTTTTATTGCCAGAAAGTGTAAAACCTATTCTTGTTTTTTTCATAACCACTCTGTTATAAACATTTACCGACAACCGAACTTCAACACACAGGACGAGAATCGCGCGACTCGAGAGAGGACACGAGGCACGACATTTGAGGTATAACACAATAGACCGGCGACAAAACACGAGGGAAAATGTTATTAGAGACACAGGAGGAACACAATAACTGGAACATAAGAGACAAACGGGACACACACAAAAGCAGACGGCCAAGACGAACCGAGAGCCGAACGTAGTTCCAGAGACCACGGGACACGGAGACAAGAGACTATGGAGAAGCACAGGGAGACAAGAGACTATGGAGAACCACAGGGAGACAAGAGACTATGGAGAACCACAGGGAGACAAGAGACTATGGAGAACCACAGGGAGGTAAGAGACTATGGAGAACCACAGGGAGACAAGAGACTATGGAGAACCACAGGGAGACAAGAGACTATGGAGAACCACATGGAGACAAGAGACTATGGAGAACCACAGGGAGACAAAAGACTATGGAGAACCACAGGGAGACGCAGGGAGAGAGAGATGTTTAGTTTTAAAACGCAGGGCTTCACATCACACATCTCAAACGTTTGAAATGGCACCCCCGGTATCAGCTGGGGGGCGAACTCCGCGCTTGTCCCGCGATTCGGGCACGGGCCTGCAAGCAAGGTGACCATTACTTCCCACGTGTCATCCAAAGTGAGTCATTTGCGGGCCAATTTCCGAATGCTGGCAAAAGTCGACCACGACGCCAGCACACAATGGCTAACTCTTGCGAATTACGTAGATTTAACGCCCACTGCGAGGCAGTGTATAATGGTTAGTACATTATATACTTGGTTCTTTCGGTAAAGTCACGTTAATTTTTTTTTAAATAAAATGAAATAAAAATTAAAATAAAAGCAAAAAACCCACGACGTTTCAATCGCAACACAAGCGGTCTTCATCTTCATATTCTCGGTCTTCATCAGGCGGAGACTAATGAAGACCGAGAATATGAATTCCTGCAGTCACGAAAGTTTTAGGTCACAAAGGTTATTACATTCACAGTAATATTCAGGGCGGCCACTCGATTCGCATCGTGAACCGATTGCAAGGGGCGGCGAAAGGCGCTCTCGCTGGGCTGGACCAAGGTCACAGCCCCCACAGGGAGACACCAGAGGCAGATGGAGACCGCGGGCAAAGGAGACGCAAACACGGGGAGACGCTGGGGGGGGGGGGGTATGAGACACGGGGAGACACTGGGGGACACGGGGAGACACTGGGGGAGACGGTGGGGGACACGGGGAGACACTGGGGGACACGGGGAGACACTGGGGGACACGGGGAGTCACTGGGGGACACGGGGATACACTGGGGGACACGGGGAGACACTGGGGGACACGGGGAGACACTGGGGGACACGGGGAGTCACTGGGGGACACGGGGAGACACTGGGGAGACACTGGGGACACGGGGAGACACTGAGGGACACGGGGAGACACTGAGGGACACGGGGAGACACTGGGGGACACGGGGAGACACTGAGGGACACGGGGAGACACTGAGGGACACGGGGAGACACTGAGGGACACGGGGAGACACTGAGGGACACGGGGAGACACTGGGGGACACTGGGAGACACTGAGGGACACGGGGAGACACTGAGGGACACGGGGAGACACTGGGGGACACGGGGAGACACTGGGGGACACGGGGAGACACTGGGGGACACGGGGAGACACTGAGGGACACGGGGAGACACTGGGGGACACTGAGGGACACGGGGAGACACTGAGGGACACGGGGAGACACTGGGGGACACTGGGGGACACGGGGAGACACTGAGGGACACGGGGAGACACTGGGGGACACTGGGGGACACGGGGAGACGGTGAGGGACACGGGGAGACACTGGGGGGCACTGGGGGACACGGGGAGACACTGAGGGACACGGGGAGACACTGGGGACACGGGGAGACGGTGAGGGACACGGGGAGACACTGGGGGACACGGGGAGACACTGGGGGACACGGGGAGTCACTGGGGGACACGGGGAGACACTGAGGGACACGGGGAGACGGTGAGGGACACGGGAAGACACTGAGGGACACGGGGAGACACTGGGGGACACGGGGAGACGGTGAGGGACACGGGGAGACACTGGGGGACACGGAGAGACACTGGGGGACACGGGGAGACACTGGGGGACACGGGGAGACACTGGGGGACACGGGGAGACACTGGAGGACACGGGGAGACACTGGGGGACATGGGGAGACACTGGAGGACACGGGGAGTCTCGGACCCCCGGGACCCGTCCTCACCCAGAAGTAAGAGCAGCAGCGACACCATCCTCAAGCCAGCCATGCTGAGCGTGTGACGACAACCACGTGATCCTGGCTGTCACGTGACTCGAGGGCGCGAGCGACCCCGGATTATCACGTGACTCGCGGGCGCGCGCGACCCCGGATTATCACGTGACTCGCGGGCGCGCGCTCCGGGGAGGAGGGTGGTCACGTGACTCGCGAGTTTGGGTCTCCACGTGACGGGCCGCACGCGCTGGAGCTGCCGCTTGTCGTCAACGTGTTACTTTAGAATCAGGAATGTTTGTCCGCAACTGGAGGGGGAATCCGATGAGCTGCAAAGCTCTTTAGCACAGATGTCCAGGAGGGCACCGGGTCAGAACGGAGTGCAAAGTACAATAAAGGGGCAAATAACAACAACCGCTATTCGCCACTAAGTGGCGGTGACGTCACCACGACGCTTGTGCCTTGCCATGTGCACCTTGAGGCCACGTGAAGTGTCGAACGCCCCCTACCTCCTCGCGGTGCCGGACGGGCAACTCTGTCGTGGACAGTGCTGTGTGGGGAGGGCCAATTCCGATTGCCCCCTCCTCTCATGGCGTCTGTGACCACCACAGGGGCTAAACGGGGGCTCTGGACGGGTGCGAGGGGCTGGTAACCCCTCCACCTTCAATAATGTTACCACGAAACCACGAATAAAATATGTAACTAATAAGCTTGTGCCGGAGGCCCCGGGGGGACAGGCGTCTATGACGTCTCCTGGCCAAACCCCAATTGGCGGAGCCAGGAGATTGAATCTCTACCCTCGGGGCTCCTCCAGAAACAACGACAAGCCACTTCGTGTGGCCACGTGGAAGGGGCAAATAAATCACCCAAACACAGACATTCAACACTGAACCATCCAGTTTAACACGTAGGCTTTCGCGACCAATCTCATCCATAATACAGGTTTTTTTTAGGTTCCCGTAAATATAAATATTGTTAAACCATCCGCATCCTACCAGGCAAAGCCCCACTGAGCTAATTGCCTTATTTTTCAAAAGCGACCATGGCCACAAATGACAGCTCAGCAAAGTGGCTTATCACGTGGACATGTATGGCATCAAAATATTTCATCACAACGCGCGTTTTATAAAATTACGGCACCGTGCCACTCATGCCACGTGTTCGTGAACGACTCACGCGCGTGTGTGGACAAAGTCCCATCGGTGAGCTCCTCCGGCAGGCAAGGCTGCGTTGGCTGGGTCATGTAGCCCGCATGCCCAGCCACCGAATGCCTAAACAGCTTTTGTTCGATTTTGATTTAAAGCTTTCGTGACTGCAGGGATTCATATTCTTGGTTCTTTCGGTAAAGTCACGCAGAAGGGAAACAATAAAATAATAAAAATATAAAACAATAAAATTCTCACGACATTTTGACTGCAACACAAGCAATCATCATCAGGTGTGAAAAACCGCCACTTTTTTCCATTTTTTTGCTGTGGGTTTCACACCTGATGATGATTGCTTGTGTTGCAGTCGAAACGTCGTGAGAATTTTATTGTTTTATATTTTTATTATTTTATTGTTTCCCTTCTACGTGACTTTACCGAAAGAACCAAGAATATAGCTTTTGTTAGGTCGGATCGAGGGGGCTAAACGGGCACGGCACGGGCTAGAGATGAGCTGGAGTGATGTGGTACAGGCAGAGCCGGATTAACGCATGGACTTTAGGAGCTGCAGCCCAGGGGCCTCCGCCTGCTGGAGGGCCTCCAAAGATTAAGTGAAAGTTTTTTCATTTGTGAATGCTGAACTTTATTTGTTGTCAGCCTTGTAAAAAATACAATTTAATTTTCTTTAACTCTGTTTTCCTTTTGAAAATATTACTGGGGGCCTCAGTACCTGTAGCCCAGGGGTCTACAAAATATTAATCCGGCCCTGTGTACAGGAGAATGTGGAGCTGAGTGGACTTGCCGATGACTGGTACCAGCGGTGTCAAGATCGGCCTCTGTGGAGTAGGCTCGTGAAGGACGCTGCTGCTGGGCAGTTGGAGGCAGTCGCCCTCCAGCAACAACGGAAGGCAAAGGAGCGACGCTCACAACAACGAGCGGAGCGTCGGGCAGATAAAACACAGCAAAGTTGGCACAGTAGGGGGTACAGTTGGTGCATCGGTCAGTCATCTCAGTCAGTCGACCCACGGCACCTACAGGATCTGTCCCGTAACCTCCTGCCAGCGGGCGTTCAACACTCGGCCTTAAAGTGCACATAGCCTGGCACAAGCGCGCCGTGGAGATGTCACCGCCACTTCGTAAGCGAATGGCGGGTTGTTGTTGTTGAAGCCTTTTTTTCCTTGTGGGGCTCTGCGGTCAGCAGGGGGCAGTGTAGCAAAATACATCGCCCGGTTCCCACGTGTGTGCTCCGTGCCACCGACCCCCCCCGCCACCTCCACCACCCCGCTGACCATCATCGCCGTGAAGCAAGGGCCCGGATATTAATCCCCAAGAGCCATGGGCGATGGCTCATCCAGCAAAGGATTGACTAAAATAATGTATGCACACATTGATTTTTTTGTTGTTGAAATATAATCTATTGCATATACCAAGACACGGCAATTGACAGGTTGTATGTGTATTCTTGGTTCTTTCGGTAAAGTCACGTAGAAGGGAAATAATAAAATAATAAAAATATAAAACAATACAATTCTCACGACGTTTCGATTGCAACACAAGCAATCATCATCAGGTGTGAAACTCACAGCAAGAAAATTGGAAAAAGTGGCGGTTTTTCACACATGATGATGATTGCTTGTGTTGCAGTCGAAACGTCGTGAGAATTTTATTGTTTTATATTTTTATTATTTTATTGTTTCCCTTCTACGTGACTTTACCGAAAGAACCAAGAATATGAATCCCTGCAGTCACGAAAGCTTTAAATCTAAATTTTAAGGTTGTATGTGGTCAAGTGCGGTGTCGTGAACGCTACGCTACGATACCCGGCGACCCGAGTTCGATTCGCGTTCACGGCCAACACCAGTGACGATTATCTGAACCGGTCCTGGGCCTCCTCCCCTAGGTCGATTCAGCCTCAAATGAGTTCCTGGTGCGGTGTGCAGACATTGCCACGAGGATGACAAAGACGGTCGGCCGTGGTGCTGGCCATCCACCCCTCTTGTGTGCCGTGCCGGCTAACAGCACTTAGCCCAAAAGTCTGTTATTTTACGGGGTGTCTTTGTGCTGGCTGGGTCACGTAGCCCGCATGCCCAAGCAGCTTCTGTTTGGCCGGATAGAGGGGGTTAGAATCGGCGTGGCACGAGCTAGAGAAGAGATGGAAGCTGATGCGATACAGGAGGATGTGGGGGCTGAGTGGACCAGCGGTGTCAAAATCAGCCTCTGTGGAGGAGGCTCGTTAAGGACGCTGCTACTGGGCAGTTGGAGGGAGTCGCATTCCAACAACAGCGAAGGAGCGACGCTCACAACAACGAGCGAAGCGAGTGCCGGCGGATAAAATGCAGCAAGTTTGCACAGTGGGGATCACAGGTGGTGCATCTGCCAGTCATCTCAGTCAGTCGACGCATGGTACCTGGGTCTGTCCCGTGAAGTAATGCCAGCAGCAAGCCTTCGACATTTCACGTGGCCTGAATGTGCACCCATCCTGGCACGCGTGCTGTGGTGACCTCACCGCCACTTAGTGGCGAATGGCGGCGGCTGGTGTACTCCCACATCTTTCAAGACGTATGTTCATTGTGGAAGAGTAGGTCACATGTTCTCTATAGGGGCTCATTCTAGCGGAAAACCCCTCTGCCAGCAGTGACGTGAGCAAGATATTGCGGGGCTGTACCTTTAGCTTTACAAATGATCAGGCTGGATGGCATTTTGGAAGAGCGCTAGAGATCCACAAGCTAAAGGTTACGGTCAGGTGTCAACTCAGCCTATCATTTTTGGGTAGATAAAATAAGTCCCGCTTTGTGGGAAGTCAACAACGGTCATCTTACCGAGAGACTTTCCTGCATTTATGTCGTTGCTCTGACATTCTCTAGACATCAATAAGTTCAAAATAAATCCTATCCACGCATTTTATCAAAGCAAGTCAACCCTTGTTGAATCAACTCAACACATAATCGTCTAGTTCATGGTCAAACTACAATACCACTTGAAGGAGGATGCAATTCAAAAACACGAATAGCATCTTGAAATGCGTGCGTTTTGTAGATACACACATAATGATTGCACCCAGTGCTGTCTGACATGCTGTTATCCTACAATGAGAATAACACCTTTTTAAAGTAAAGGTGATGCACTTTGTAATAGTGCTCTAGTCACATCACTTCATGCATGTATTAATACTGACGAGGGTGACATCGTGAAAGTGCAATGATGACATTTGACTTTTATTGAGCAGCCTGGGCCACACTGCCGTGGAAAGCACATACAAGAACTGTGGATATTATTGTATTGCCCCATGAAGTAACATTTCCTAATTTTCCAGCTAACCTGGACTAATTACTCTCTTCAGGACCAATCTCTGACCACCTCAAGTGCCTGTCATCGCTTTGCACAATTGTGCACAGTGCGTGCACTTGTGTAATGAGCGACTTCCACGACACGTCGTATAGAGGGTACTTCTTTATTTCTCACACTGGGCACAAGACAGGCCAACACTTGTTCTTCCTCTCACTGACTAAAACTCTAGGCAATAACACCTCTACTGGCTACATGCACAGCCGATCACTCGGCATGGTCCCCTCGCCCTCACTCGTCTCCGCCGCTGGCTAGCGGCGTGACGATGACAGCGATGGAACCCACGCAGGAGATCTTCCACGTGGCCGGACGACGGAGAGAGATGTGTCGGTGAACAGCGACACAGCCAGGACCCAGGACCCCACACGAGCTCCGGGTCCGCTCCCCCTTATATCCCCCCAGGCGTGGCTAAGCCCCGCCTCCAGCCACGCCCTCTCGTGGAACCTTCTAGCAGGTTCCCGGAGCATCTCGGCTAACTCCACCTGTTACCTTCGCCCCAGATACGCCTCCTTCTCTGATTGGCTGTACCCGTGAAACCCTTCCCAGGCCAGCAGGTGTCACTTTGTCATGTCAGCAGGTGTAACCCTGTCATTACACTTGTATGCAAGTCTTTTTTTTTATATCTTCCCTTTGGTAATCACAGGGCAGTAAAGCTCTGCGATTCGTG